ACCAGAACCTCCTCCTTTCCCCTACACACCTGGAAAATCATGCATTATATATAACCAAAGCCGCAGTTGTCTTGTAGAGCAGACCCATGGTGGTGGCTTGATGCCCAGTGGAGGACCACCACTATCTTCATGGTAGTTGTCCGTGTGTAGGTGAGCGAGTCAAAGACATAATTGCAACCCAGGCGGAACTGGGCAAAATTCAGCAGATCATACTTGAAATGGAGCAAACAATGGATCATAATTTTCAATTGAACATCTCCTTCCTTTCTTTGTTATGTGCTGAGAACCAACACCTGCAGCTGGGCCAGTCAATGCAACTAAAGCAGAGGAGATGCTTAAAGACATAAATTCCCACTATGTGTCCCTAACAAGAGCATGAAAGGCACAATTGAGAAACTGGTCAAATGCACCAGGACGCGGTCTCTCAATCTCAGCACTGTGGGCATCTGGGGCTGGATAGCTCTCTGGGGTGGGGCATCCTCAACCCTGTAGGGTGATGAGCAGCATCTCTGGTCTCCGCCCACCACATGCCAGGAGCACCCCCTCCCCAGATATGACAATCCCAATTATTCCCACACATCGCCAAACAGCATGAAATCATCCTGTCTCCGTGGTGAGCTCCACTGAACCAGACTGATAGGAAATCATTCTTGGATGATTTCAAATGCTGTTTATTCATCAAGCAAGATTCTGATTTTCTCATCCAGGGTTGTTGATTTAGAATAGAATCTCTGTGATTTTATTATTTTTCTCTCCTAATTTAAATATATGAATAAAAATTGAACATAGAAATTTTCTCATTGCTTTATTTTACTAATTCCTGCTGGAAAGAATTTAATATGTTGACTGTGGTATCTTGTGGTTCCTCACTGAAGAGATTTCTAAAAAGATTCACATAAATCCCCAAACTTCCTCCAAACTGACTGATATTCAATGACTTTATTTTTTTAATTAATTAATTAATTTATTTGAGAGAGCGAGAGAGAGAGCATGAATAGGGAGGAGGGGCAAAGGCAGAGGGAGAAGCAGATTCCCCACTGAGCAGGAAGTTGGACATGGGGCTCGATTTCAGGACCCTGGGATCATGACCTGAGTTGAAGGCAGATGCTTAACAGTCTGAGCCATCCAGGTGCCCCTATTCAATGACTCTTGCAACATCATTATTATAAAATATAAAGGAGAATACTCAATGGCATGAAAAAATTTAAATACATCTGTTATCAAAAACATACTCTTCCCCCGCCAGCAATTCATATACACCCACATTTTCTGCTGGATGAGATAAACCCATCTCTCCATTATTTGCTTTCCACTAAGAAAAAGTCCACTAGTAAAACATTAAATGACAACAATTATGAAGTAAATTCAGAGACCAGAAGCCTGGTTTCTAAACCAGCAAAACTGTTATGTTATGTGTCAACTTATGATTTTCAATATTTTGGTATTCATTGAGTCACTGTAATGGTACGAGCTGCATTATCCCATTCAGGGATTATACCAGATAGTTTAAAGAAAGAAAGAAGGAATGAAAGAGAAAGAAAGAATGAAAGAAAGAAAGAAAGAAAGAAAGAAAGAAAGAAAGAAAGAAAGAAAGAAAGAAAGAAAGAAGAGAGAGAGAGAGAGAGAGAAAGAAAGAAAGAAAGAAAGAGAGAGAGAGAGAAAGAAAGAAAGGAGGAAGGGAGGAAAGGAAGGAAGGAAGGAAGGAAGGAAGGAAGGAAGGAAGGAAGGAAGGAAGGAAGGAAGGAAGAACAAATTTTAAAGTTTGTAAACTTACTTGTACAGACTTTATCATTTTACTACTGAGCAAAAGTCCCCCACCTCCATGACCTTTGATTAGCCCACTTACTTGTCCCCCTCGGAATAGCATAAATACCCTTAAACACATAAAATCCATATTCTACAAGTGTCCACTCACAGGTGAATGGATTAATCAAGTCTGGGACATCCCAAATCCAGTGGAATACCATTCAGCAACGACAAGGAGTACTCTCTTGATAATCTAGTCAACAACCTTGAGGGATCTCCAAATTGAGTATGCTGAGTGAAAGAAGCTACACAAAACAGTATATAATACCTCCTGATCCCATTTATATAAAATCCTAGAAAACGCAAAAGAGAGAGAGAGATGATTTGATACAACGAATCCTCAGCCCTTCACTCTCCGCCTTGTTGACCATTAAAAATTTAAGCATGCCAAACTGGAACTACGTTAACTTCACATATTTTCTATTGAATTACATGAACTTAACAAATTTTACTTACTGGAAACAAGTTGTTTCTCCAGCTCCTGCATTGGTGGACACTGGTCCTGTGTGTCCAGGCTCCTGCCACAGTTCCAAGTGACTGCACTCACTATTATAATTAAACATTTATTAAGTACCACGGTTGGGTACTACTCAAGTCTGTCAATTATCTTTATATGTAAGCATAACCCACCATGGCAGCTGGTACATAGTTATTTAGCAAAGGGATCTTTCATCTCAGCTTTCAACTGCCATCAAACATACATATATAATTAAGGGGACTTAATTAACTCAAATACGTTTTCTGCCAGGATAATTTTTTTTTATTTAAATTTTTTTAGAAGGTTAAAAAAAAATCTCCACCAACGACTCCAGTTAGGTTTTCGAAACAGCAGAGAGTAGGGGTACAACAAGGTGCTTTTCAGCATCTTAAATTCTATTGCAAACTTTCAAGAGTAGCTTCTGTCTTCTGGTCTAAATGTGTCTTATAAACATTGCATCTTTAAGCCTCAACACACACTTCTGAGGAGGGTGAGCATCGCTAGCTGCATTTATAGGTGGAGATATCATGGCACAGAAGACACGCTGTATGCAAAATTCAGTTACACACTCCTGGAAGAGTAGATGATAGAAGACATGCTTAGAAGATAGATAGGTAGACAGATAGATGATAGATGGGTGGACAGATGGATGGATGGATAGATAGATGATGGATAGATGGATGGATGGATGGATAGATGATGGATGGATGGGTAGATAGATGATAGATGGATGGATAGATGACAGATGGATGGATGGATAGATGATAGCTGGATGGGTGGACAGATGGATGGATGGATGGATAGATAGATGATGGATAGAAGGGTAGATAGATGATAGATGGATGGATAGATGACAGATAGATGGTTGGGATATAAGAATTGCTTCTATCATAGGACTTTTTCTCATTTAATTGTACCCTTTCTTACAGTCTACCCTTTCTTATAGCCTGAAAATGGGGATAGGTGCACAAGGACAAGGAGAGACGTTCACATGAGAATTACCGTGAAAAACACAGCCATGTCATCACCCCAGCAACACAGTTTCACCCAGGGCTCCATAATTTCTGGAGCTACAAGCGAGGAGCCAAGCTTGCAAGGAGGCCATACTTCAAAGACATTCTAATCCTGGGATCCTCCAAGCCCTCACCCTGCAGTGCAATCTCTGCAAACAGACCTTTCTCCCTGGGGATCATGTTTCGCCTTTAAGGCAATCCCGCAGTCTCCGTGTGATGTCTGGGCCGCTGCTGAATACTATAAAATATGACCCCACAGTCGTGAGGCATAAAAGCAAACAACAGTGGAAGCCCAAGGTCCAGGTGGGTAGCGGTGGGGTGGGGTGGGGGGGAGTACAGTCCGAATTAGAACATACCTGGCAGGAATTCATGAACGCTATGTAGATGCACAGTTACATGTCATCTGAGAGCCCCCAAATGACTCAAAACCCAAGCACACAATGACCTGGTTTCAGGGCAGCAGAAAAATAGGTTTCTGGGAGGCGCTAAATCCAGGGTGTGTACAAAGTAGCCGAGGGCTTTGTTCCTGTGATTTCTCAGCTACGAGGAAGAACCCCTAGCTTCCAGGAGAAGCAGCAAGAAGCTGTAAGTCTGGGTTCAGAGCCTCCTTGTGCCCCCTGCCCTGCAGGACCGTGACAGCCAGCAGAACTTGATGATCATGTGTGTGTCAGCCATTGGTGAAACGCATTGTCACTGGGGGTCCTCAATGCAGCAGTGTCGGCAGGCATTGTGGGTTGTCACGACCCCGGGGTGGGATGGGTGGTAGTGGCATCTGGGGGGTGCAGACCAGAGATGCCATGTAACACCCCGCAATGCACAGGACCGCCCCTACAGAAGAGAATTTCCTGGTCCCTAAATGTCAAAAGGTCCCCAGCCAAGAATGCGGTCTCCTCACCGAAGGGAGAGCAAGGTGCGCTGAACCTCAGGTCACCTGGGAATTGTGATTTAGATCTCAGAGACCTGTGTTCTCTTAGTTGACGTCAGGTAAAACAACAACAGAAGGAGTCTGGCTGTCTTCCTTAAACACCAGCACCATTCAGCAGACCTGCCATGGAGCGCCAGGTATCCCCACGGAAAGGGCGCCTACCCTTCTTCCTTTGCTTTATGAAATTTGCAAAGAATTTTTGAAGCTGTGGAGTTAAAGACAGTTATCTGCCCAGCATGAGCCTCAAATCACAACTCGGCCATGCTCGGACCGCTGAGAGCAAAAAAAAAAAAAAAAGAAAGAAGAAAATACACGAGGGGCTTCGAGGATGCATCCTTTGATAGGATTCCACCCCCAGCAGTGTGCAGAAAGCTCTTACTCAGGAAAGTTTGGGAAAGGATCACATTTGCATCTAATGCTGCCTGAAATCTGCATCCTGGCCCCCGAGGAAGGAACGTGCTCCCTAGTGAATAGAAAACAAACAAACAAACAAATATGACACAAAACCCAGAAGGAGATCACAAATACGGTCATAGGGTTAGGGAGGTGCGAAGGTATTTGCATAGGATGGTGCTTGCTGATGTAAGCAGAGCTGTGTTCTGTTCCCTTTTTTTTTTTTTTTTTTAATTTCTGAGGCAGATGCCAGAGTTAGGGGGGAAAACAAGCTACAAAATTTAAGGACCGTTTAAGAGGCACTTTTCAAGGCGACGACTTTCCCATTTTGGGACACAGCCAGCAAATATCACTCAGAGTTGAACAAAGGTCGGGAATGAATGAGTCACTGCTCTCAGCACGAGTCCTCCGGGCTCCTTCTGGGAGGGTTCCGTTTTATAATGAAGAACAGAAGGTGCTCTGTAGAAAACTCACATTGCCACAGCACCAGGTCGCCGGCGACTGCCTTGTCCGTTCTCTCTGGACAACCGAACTTGGTTTCTGCCACCTCCTTGCTGTGGGTCTGGAGAGCGAATCAGCTGTGCACATGCGTGTAGCACCCTGAGCAGGCTTGGGGACTTGCAGCGGGGGAGTGCCTCCGGCCCCCGGCGAGGAGAGGCCATTCCCTGCCTTGCACGAGCAGCCCCTCGCCTCCAACCTCCAACCTCCAGCCATTCAGGTAAGCGGCTCTCCTGGGGCTCCTGGCAGGGTGGTCCCAGCACGTCCAGGGATGCTGGGCAGCTATCCCGAACAGCACCCCGCCACGGAGAGCACGCCACGTCCTCGGAGGCGGTCTGTAGAAATCTTTTAGAAGCAGTTTTGTAAAGAAGGGGGGAGAAAATGAAAAGCGAAAACATCAGTGACACATTTCTACCCCCTCCCCTTCCCCGGGGTGATTTCCAAAAGCAATGCAGACTGGAATGAACTAGAAACATAATCCAGAGGTGGGGGAAAGGGAAGGATCCTAGATTCCTACAGGTCTCAAAGCATGTGGACTGGATGTGGAAGGGGTCCTGGAGATTGGAAACTCAGCTAAATTTGGGAACAGGGCTCAGACGGAGTGGCAAAGGCAGGCTTGCTGCCCTGGGGCTGGAGGACAGCCAGGAAGCAGGGTTGCAATCTCATCCCGGTCTGGAAGAGAGTCAAAGCCTACATTATGCGTCGCACCCATTTTCCCTATCTTTTTTCTTTTCTTTTTTTTTTTTTAAGATTTTATTTATTTATTTGAGAGACAGAGAATGAGAGACAGAGAGCATGAGAGGGAGGAGGGTCAGAGGGAGAAGCAGACTCCCCACTGAGCAGGGAGCCCGATGCGGGACTCGATCCCGGGACTCCAGGATCATGACCTGAGCCGAAGGCAGTCGCTTGACCAACTGAGCCACCCAGGCGCCCCTTCCCTATCTTTTTTCTAAAAGCTGAGGTCCAGTTGACCGATAACATTGTCTAAGTTTGACGGACACACGTGTGCCTTTGGTATATGGGCCAATTGCTCTGTGATTACGACACGGGCCCTAGCTAACACCTTCCGGACGTCACAGAGTTACCATTCCTTTTTTCGCTTTGAAAAAGATTAAGATCTGCTCTGTTAGCCACTTTGAGCACTGTTGAGGATGAGCGCTCTGTTGTGCAGTCGGTCGCCGGAACTTAATCCTCTTCTCGTTGTAAGTTTGTCCCTTAAACCTCACCTCTCCAGCGCCCTCCCAACCCCAGCCCCTAGGAACCACCATGCTGCTCTCTGCTTTTCTCCCCGCTTGTATTTTCTTAAAGTTTTCTCTGCTAACAGGAAGCCAATCTGAAGGAAAGTATGCAGCATTCTATAAACTGCTGAGGTCATTGAAGCTCATTGCATTACATAGAGGTCACTCCCTTTACGTAGCTAAATATCTAGAGCATATCCTTTAGAAGATAGGCCAAAGATTTGGTGTAAGGAAACCTCATATGAGTTTTCAATTACGATTGTCAGATAAAGAGTCTCAACCGTAACCAGATATGACAGATATAACCAGCCACCTTCCCCAGAAAAGTCAGAAGCATCCCCTAATAGGTTTTTTTCTGGCAAAAAACCAAAATTTTAGGTATAACTAGATAAAATTCCTGTCTCAGCGGCACATAATGGCCATGTCTACTTTATCCTATAGCATATATTTTATATTTTTATGTAGTACATACATATTATACATTACCATATAATAATGTATAGTATGTGTATATATATTACCATATAATGTATAAATAATATAGTATGTAATTTATAAATATACATGAATAAAAATATTTATACAGACCCCCTAAGAGGTCATGATTTAAGATGTGTAGCCCAAAGTCGTGCACTGGACCAAACTAAAGGTAGGTTGCACGTGGATAGTATGAAAAGAAAGCATTTCCAGCTTCCCTCCTCTGCTCATTCTGAGACACGCTGTTCGAAACCCTCTACCTGTAAAAGCAAATCAGGCACACAGAATCCCCGACACCTTAGCTGTCCGTCAGAGGAGTGGAGTGGCTTCATGAACAACGCACACCCTGCGCGCTTCCGACTCTAGGACATTCTGGAAAGGGCAAACTTATGGAGACAATAAAAGGTCAGTGGTTGCTGGGGTTGGGGGCGGGGAGGGATGAACAGGTGCAGCCTGTTCATGCTGCCTGAAATCTGCATCCTGGCCCCCGAGGAAGGAACATGCTCCCTAGTGAATAGAAAACAAACAAGCAAACAAATATGACATAAAGGTAGAGTGGGGATTTTTAGGGCTATGAAACCAGTCTGTAGGATACTATAACGGTGGATCCATGTCGTTATACATTTGTCCAAACCCATAGAATGAGCACCACGAAGAGTGAGCCTCGATGTAAACCAAACACTTTGGATGGTAGAGAAAACACATAGCTACTATCACGAGGCGTAACATCACGCACCCTCCAGAAGCAAAATAAAAACGTGCACGGAGCTGGGTGGCTCACGCCTCACGAAAATCCTTCCTGGAAATAAGTGAAGTGAATAAACAGCGATGGCCTGATGCTAGACCTTGCCCAGTGGTGGAACCCACCAGCCTTTATCGAATCTGAAAACTTCCCTACGATGGATGCAGTCTCCGGTATCTACATACGGCCCGCAAAGGAACCTATCCCGTGGGGTCTTTTTCTGCACAAGCTTTGCCCTGTTCCAGCAGCATATAATGGCCATCTGGTTGACCACAGGTTCATTGCCCTGTCCTTCCACTGAGATGAATGCCGTGTGCGAAGGTGTGAGAAATCACCTGAGATGGCCAGGGAGCTTGCAAAGAACCCCTTATCACCTGTGAGCAAGGACTGACATCCACAGAACATGAAGGACACAGAAAGGTCAGTCTGCATTGGAAGGACACAGAGCCCATTGGCCTCTCCCAGGGAGCTGCTCACATGGCACAGGGTGGCGCTCATAGGAGGGCTGGATGCTCCCCAGACTCAGGAGCACCCTACCCCCACACCATGGAAGCCAACATCTCTTCAAACAACTGATGAGTAGAGCTTCAAGGTCACTGCAAGGGCCAAGCCAGGTCAAGGTCATTGACCCACAAAAATCCAAAGTTGGCTTTGCCTTAATGTCTGAGCCAGGGGCTGGGGGGTGGGATGGCGAGTTTGTATTTAATCAGGACAGAGTTTCGGTTCAAACAGATGAGAAATTCCCAGAGGTGGATGGTTGCACAATGGTGTGAATCTGTTCAATGCCACTGAGCTTTGCACTTAAAAATGGTCATGATGGTGAATTTTGTTATCTGTATTTATGGCAAGTAAAAATTTTTTGAAAAATACTTGTATTGGAGATCATTTCAAGTCAATAATCTTAACACTTAATTTTGCGTTTTCTTTCCTTTCTACCTTCTATATCAAAGATCAGGAATCTATGGTTCATGGGGGCAAAACTCACCTGATCTGTAAATAAGGTTTTCAGTGGAAGACAACAACATCCGGTCATGTGTCTATCGCCCATGGAGGCTGCCATGTTATAGTCGCAGAGCAGAGTAGTAGCAACAAGGATCATCTGGGTAGAAAAGCCCCAAATGTGTATCATCTGGCCCTCAGTAGACACAGGTTCTACTTTCTTAAGACAGTGTTCAGCATTTTAAGGGCCTTTTCAATGGGGAAGACCATTCTTTTTATGAGTTTTCAGTTGTTGTTTTAAGGTTTCATTGATAGCATCAGAGAGTCAAAGTCTCCCTTTCCTCAGGTACTTAGTATTTTATACATGGAATTAGTGCACATCTACTGCCTTTGTTCTGATAGACCTCTTTATTTCTTCCAGGAAATAAAAGGCAGGAGAGAACATGTTACCTCGGGAGCACTCTTGGTAAGACAGCATTACATGCGATCCTTAATCTGCTGCTTCTATGTTTCTTTTTGTCCCTTTGTGAGGACACATTGACAGAGTGGTCTTGCTCACTTAGTCACTGATGGTACATCTGGGGGAGTGATCATGGAACTCAGGATTCCTATCAGTGATCCACACTTCCCCACCCGGGAGCCTCTGAAGGAATTCTATTTCACTTTTCCCAAACCCGGTTGTCTGGTTTTCCAGGGAGCCCATATTGCAAATCTTCTTCGGAGACTCCGATCTCATCTTTATTCCATGGCACTGGGGATTGCAGTCTTGTCCTGCTGTGTATGCACGTGCCCAAGTTGGCTTCCATATATATATATATATAGGAGGGACTCCACGGATGCCACGGTTATGGTAGTAAAGATAGTGGGATAGCCACCAAGCTCCATGGCAATTCTTTCTCCTGATATGCCACCACCATATCAGGTGTCTCTGCTCTGGGCTGGAACCTCCATCACTTCAAAAGACCCACTTCCCATCAGGTATCCGTGAGTGAAAAAAGTCAGTCACATTCACGCTGGAATATATGGAGACTTTTAATAGACTCAGAATCACCAGTTGGCATTGGTGAGCCCTTGCCCTGACTTTTCATCTCTGTCTTGCTCTGCTCAGTGGCCCAACTGCCTACAAAGTGCCACAGATACCCAAGTTCAACACAGTTTCCTTATTTAAGGAAAAATCAAGAAAGGGCAAAGGGGAAGGAGCTATAACTTTTCTGGAGACCTAATCCATGCATAAAAAGAAAACCAAATAAGGCTTTTTCTTAATCATGGGTATGATCACCTAACAACAGACCCTACGGCTTAAAAAAAAAAAAAAGTTTACAGTTGAAATAAAACCATCAAGAGCATGAATTGTTTTCAACGAAGAAAAAAAAAATCAAATGCCTAAGAATGTATTCACACTCTTTGGCAATGGGATGCTAATATCAAAGTCCCCTAAAATGGTGACACACCTACAAAAGTCCCACTTACAGAAGTCACATACATGACATGGAATAGCAGTGTTAATTAAGCGTTCGTCGGCACCTTGTCTTTCAGGAGCTGGCTGACTGTGACAGTCGGCGTGCTTCTGGGTGTGAGGCCATCAGCTTGTGGGGATTTATCTGGTGCACGTCCAAACATCCTTCTTCTGATGGCGGACGATTTTGGCATTGGCGACATTGGCTGCTATGGCAACAACAGCATCAGGCAAGGGTCCGAGAGTCGCTCGTCTGACACCCTGAGGAAGACACCACTGACAATGGATCCAACTCTTCATCTGCGCCATCCAAACTTCCACAGGATTCTGCACACACTTCCTTTCACGCCCCCTAACCCTTCCTTCTTCCTACCCCAGCACTAACCCCAGCTCAGATTCATCCTACCTGTGACTCATCACTTCACTTTTAGACGTGGTTTCCATCAGCATGGTCCATGATGGACAATGTTCAAACAATCGTTGGTGTTGCATCAGAGTCAAAAACCCAAGCTTACTCACACTCCAGTTCCACCCATCAGCCCAAGTCCACCCACTCAAGCATGACTTCAGGGCTCCCTGCTGAAAAGCTCTGCCTCCGACAGACAAATCCCTGTCCCCGTCACCACCAGATATGACAGGCTCACTGTTATTGCTGGCACATCTGTCTTAGAATGAGCTCACCCCATCACCTTGATCACATTCTAATTGCCCTTGGGGACCCAGCTCAGGCAACACCACCAACATGCATCTGAATCCCACCCTCATGTACCGACTACAATATGTTGGTGCCAAGAGGTCCAATTTTCTGATCAAAACTGTGAGTCCCATGAGAGAAGGCACTCCAGACTCTCAATTCTGGATTACTCATGATGCCCATCTCCGTACCCCAGCATGTTGCAGAAACTTAGTAAACAATATCGAATTGAGTTTATGTTTCTTCGATGGTTCGGATGATATTTGAAGTTCTTGCCACTGACTTTTGGTCATTCCTAAGAATACCTTGATGTGTTAAATGATGATGCGCTGATTTCCTTTCTTTTCTTAAAATTCAAATTCAATTAATTAACGTATAATGTATTATTGGTTTCAGAGGTAGAGCTCAGTGACTCATCAGTCTTATATAGTACCCAGTGTTCATCACATCATGTGCCCCCCTTAATGTCCATCACCCAGTTACCCCATCCCCCACCCACCTCCCCTCCAGCAACCCTTTGTTTCCTATAGTTAAGAATCTCTTATGGCTTGTCTCCCTCTCTGATTTCATCTTGTTTTATTTTTTCCTTCCCTTCCCCTATGATCCTCTGTTTTATTTCTTAAATTCCACATATGAATGAGATCATATGGTAATTGTCTTTCTCTGACTGATTTATTTTGCTTACCAGAACACCCTCTAGTTCCATCCACGTCATTGCAAATGGCAAAATTTCATTCTTTGTGATGGCTGAGTAATATTCCATTGTCTATATATAGACCACATCTTCTTTATCCATTCATCTGTTGGTGGACATAAGGGCTTTTTCCATAGCTTGGCTATGTGGACATTGATGGGCCAAATTTCTATTAAATATGTATATATGCTTGTAGAAAAACCTATGTGCTTGTCTGTTAAGGAATAACACTGTTCATGTTTCCCTCTGTAGGACTCCAAATATTGACCGCCTTGCAGAGGATGGTGTGATGCTCACACAGCATGTGGCAGCTGCATCAGTGTGCACCCCAAGCAGGGCTGCTTTCCTAACAGGCAGATACCCTCTCCGATCAGGTTTGTCCTCTCTCATGTCTAACCATGGCTCTGGAGAAAAACACACTCCCTATATTAGAGGTATTAAAGCGTGCGTCCACTGCTGTAGTGGGGAGAGAATAATCTACTCCCTCCATATTTCTACCATCAGATTAGAGTCAGTAAGAGCTATAGAACCCCACAGGTAATGAGGTGACGCAGGCAGGGGGATTGAGTAGAGAGTAGACCAAAAGTTCAAAAGTCTGTGTGATGTCTTTGGCATCCTTCTGCCCTTTGGCCCTAAAGATAAGGAACCTCCATATCAAGAGTTATCTCCTTTAGTTGAAGCCAACTGATTGTAGATGTTAACCATATCTTGAAAGACCTTCATAGAAAAACCTAAACTAGTGGACTAGTGTTTGAATAACTGGGGACTGGCCTGGCCATGTGACACACTAAACTGACTCTCACAGACCCTCATATGTATGGGTCCCTGGTATTTTCTCATGCCCCCAGGGAAGAAGGAATCCTGGCTAATGTAAATTTATGTTCCACTGGTCTTCCACTGAACCAGATGCATGGTCAAAGTTTTAGAAAATCTCAGAAAGAATTCTCCTAGTTCCCAAATGATGATCGATGAGATATGTTCAGTCTTGGAGCCAAGTAGATCTTCTCTAGTAAGACTGAACTATATTCATCAAAATGGTCTAGGAGGCACAGAGCATCTTCCAAGTCAGTGTTTCTCCACCGTATACTGCAGAGCTTTAGAAAAATATTTAACCTACATTTTTAAACACTTGAGTAGATGCCTTGGGTATGTTGGGTCAGTATGAACTATATCCATCGCTCCCTACTTTATTACCACACATGAATCTTCTGGGGCATCTTGCAACCATTCCAAATTCCAAATTCCACCCCAACCAAGTAAAATCACAATCTCTGGGGGGCACCTGATTGGCTCAGTTGGCTAAACATCCGACTCTTGATTTCAGCTCAGGTCATGATCTCACCGTTGTGAGATTGAGCCTCGCGGGGGCTCCACATTCAGCCTGGAGTCGGCTTGAGATTCTCTCCCTCTCCCTCCCCCCCGCACCTTTCCCCCTGCTCACACACTCTCTCTTTCTCTCTCCCTTAAATAAATAAATAAATAAATAAATAAATAAATAAATAAATAAATAAAATCTTAAAATAAAATAAAATCACCACCTCTGGATTGACAACCAGGTTTCAGAATATTTTGGAGCTTCTCTAATGATTCCAAAGTACAGATGAGTTTGAGAATCTCTGGATTATATAAAGAGTTGGTAAAATTATAAAACTATTTTTAATTCTCTTTCCTTTTTCACTTAATTCTCTTTGTGTTTATAACCTTCACATAACAGGACAATAAGTCTTCTCACTAAGTTTTCAATTAATGTTTCACTGCATATTTTAAATGAAAATTAATAATAATGATAAATGTCACTGTGTGATAGTAACATTTCTTTGAAAATGCTTCCCCAAAGGTATGGTTTCCAGCAATGGTTATCGTGTTCTTCAGTGGACCGGAGTATCTGGAGGGCTCCCAACCAATGAGACAACTTTTGCAAAAATATTAAAAGACAAAGGATATGCCACTGGGCTAATAGGTATGTACATTTTTTTAAGTATTAAGCACATTTCCTTTATATGGAGAGTGTATTCAACCAAAAAGCTTGGAAATGAAATGGTTTTAATGCAGTGGGATTGTCCATCAGACAGAAAGCTCCATGAATGCAGGAATGACCTCAGTACCCAGACTGCCTAGTGCGAAGTAGATGCTCAAGATATATCAGCTTAATGAAACACCTGGCATTTCATAGTATTTGCTGATACACATGATAAAAAAAAAAAAAGGAAAAATTTTTTCTAATGTCAACAAGTTACCAACAATTTCCATAATGTTGTTTTCCCTAAATTCTGCACAGAAATGTGACTGCAGGGCATAATTCTTCCCTCTCTGTTTCCATAAATAGCATGCTTATTTTTCTGGATGTCAATAACCATGTCATGTATAGAATGAAGTACAGTTAAGGGTAGTAGTTTCTTGGGGCGCCTGGGTGGCTCAGTCGGTTAAGCCACTGCCTTCAGTTCAGGTCGTGATCCCAGGCTCCTGGGATCGAGTCCCACGTCGGGCTCCCTGCCCAGCAGGGAGTCTGCTTCTCCCTCTCCCTCTGTCTGCAGCTTCCCCTACTTGTGCTCTCTCTCTATCTCTCTGTCAAATAAATAAATAAAGTCTTAAAAAAAAAAAGGATAGTAGTTTCTTGACAGGGGACCAACCTGTCACTGTCATTATCATGTTATAGTGACAATTTTTATTAACAGGGCCATTTATTGATCATAAAGACCAAGACTAGCTGATACACCAAATATCAAATCCAATAGGCTCATTATCATTTTTTTTTGAGACAGAAGTCTATTCTCATGGAACATTCCTTGGAAAATCTCGTGAGGTTTTCTGGATGAGAGACGGTCATTTGGGGTGGTGGGAAGACACACAGGTCTCTATCAACGCTCTAGTAGTGACAGTAGAGAAGCTAAGCATCTGCCATTGATTGAATTGAAAGGTGTGCTCTGTAGAACATATCTCCTACCATGACCCTGATCACCATTACAGTGGTTTAACAAAGAGAAGGACAATTCCAAAGTCAGGAAACCCTTTACCCATGCTGAGTACAGCAGATTGTTTTCTAGAACAAGGTGAGCACTCTGTGCCTTCCTTATTGCTCTGCCACAGACCTTTGAAAATTCAGGTACAGTAGACTGAATAACAGTCATCAAAGATGTCATGTCCTACACGCTGGAAGCTAAAAAAATATTACCTTATATGGAAAAAGGGTCTTTGCCGATGTGATTAAATTAAGGATCTTGAGATGAGGAGATTATCCAGGATTACCCAGGTGGTCCTTATAGGCAAGGGCAAAAGTCCTTTTAAGAGAGACACAGAGGAATATATGACACAGAAGGGGAGAAGGCAGTGTGCCCACAGAGGCAGAGGTGGGAGGGATATGACCACAAGTCAAGGAATGCTTAGAGCCCCCAGAAGCTAGAACAGGCAGGAAGGATCCTCCCCAGGAGCCTACAAAGGGAGCATGACCCTATAACACCTTGATTCTGGACTTCTGGCCTCAGAACTATGGGAGCATAAATTCCTATTGTTTTAAGCAACCATGTTTATGGTAATTTGTTTCAGCAGCACAGGAAGCAATATACCACGTAATGCTGCCACACAGGGTCTTCATTCGTCTGTCTCAATGAAGCCAGGTTGTGGTTGAAATAGCAGTGAACACTACTTACATCCCTACCCTATTCCTGCGTGCAGCACAGCACCTGGAATGTGGCAAGCACGCAATACCTACTAATCAATGATCAGCTAGTTGTCACATGGGCATCCTTTTTCCCTTTCAGGAAAATGGCATCTGGGTCTCAACTGTGAATCTTCCAACGATCATTGCCACCACCCGCTCAACCACGGATTCGACCATTTCTATGGAATGCCCTTTTCCATGATGGGAGATTGCATCCACTGGGAACTGTCAGAGAAGCGTGCAGGCATGGAGCACAAACTGAATGTCTGCTTCCAAATCATGGCCTTCACTGCCCTCACACTCACCACTGGGAAACTCACCCACCTGACATCGGGCTCCTGGACTCCGGTCATCTGGTCGACCATTGCAGCCATCTTGCTCTTCATGACCTCCTATTTCATGGGGGTCTTGATTGTTCACGCAGACTGCTTTCTGATGAGAAACCACACCATCACTGAGCAGCCCATGCACTTTCAAAGGACGACGTCTCTTATTCTCAAAGAGGCCTCGTCCTTTGTCCAAAGGTGAGCACCGAAGGGGTTAGCTTCATCCTAGTGCTCTGGTCCCTGATGAAAATGCATTTCAAAAAGTCTTTCCACTTTCTTTCTGTAATGGAGATATGAATGGTGAAATCACCCTGGGCCAGAAAGATATTTTTGGTAAAGTGTGTCAGAGATGATGTTCAGTTGAACCCAACCTGATTGTGCCCATTGAAACAGATGACAAGGCAGTTGAAATTTGCTGCTGTCCCCTCCTACTTGGAGCAATCCCCATTAGGTAAGTACCCACTCATCACCACGGGCCATATTTAACTAATAAAACAAACTGAATCCCTTGAAGATTTATAATAAATTATAAATATTTTTAAAGCTCTATCCTCAGAACTAAGTTGTCCTGTTGCTAACTTTATGCTGAATGTAAATTTGAATAACAAAGGCACTTAGTATGTCAGAGCCAAGAGGGGCATGATGAAAAGCTACACCACACAGGGGCAGTTCCATGCTCCCCAAGTGTGTTCCAGTAAAGTATGAGACACCATTGAACCCCAATTCACCTGGTGGTGATAAGGTTGTGATCATGTTTCAGAACATTCTTTTCATGGAATTGTCTAACATGGGTCAGAAATGATGCTGATAATTACAGTTGACCCTTGGGGGGGACGCTGAAACTATGTGCTGCTGAAAATCACATATAACTTTGACTCCCCCGAAACTTAACTGTTAATAGCTTATTGTTGACTGGAAATCTTACTGATAGCATAAGCAGTCGATCAACACATAGTTTGTATGTTACATGCTGAGTTCTTACTACAAAGTGAGCTAGAGAAAAGAAAACATTATTAAAGAAATCATAAGGATTTATAGTACTGTACTGTATTTATATTTTTTAAAAATGCACATATAAGTGGATCTGCACAGTTCAAACCTGTGTTATTCAAGGGGCGGTTAACCGTACCTTGCAAATTACAGCGGGTGACCTGATGTGTCCTAAGTAAGTCTAAGATGTTCGCTTTTGTTTCAGTTCTTTAAGAACAGAGTGGGCCATAGAGATCAGATGGAGAGAGGGACAGATGAGGCATCTCCTAGATGGGGGAACACTCAAATTGAAATTAATAACCTAATGTCATTTTTAAAGTGTGTTTTAAAATAACCATGTCATATCCTAAACTTTGTTGCTTGAAGGCGATTAAAAAGAAAACCAAATATGCAGTATCACTTTATTCTGTATGCTAAGGTTCAAGGTGGGAACATATCCTGAAGTAATTGAAATAAATGTCAGATCAGAGAGTTGCCTGGTGTTCTGTCTTACCTTCACTTGCCAGAAGTATGTAGAGTTATAAATTGATAAAATTCAGGAAAAATATGTATAACATCAGTGCGAATTTTTCAACAGACTTTAGAAAGTTAGTCATCACATTAAAGAGTAACAGATACACTTGTTTAAGGACATGACAGTCTAGATCCATATTTTGCATCTCTAGGACCTCAGCCTGCACTTTACGTAGAAATAACTCCAGTCACTGTTATTTCAGGAACAAGCACAGACCTTTCCTCCTCTTTGTCTCCTTTCTACACGTGCACACCCCTCTGATCACGACAGAGACATTCCACGGGAAGAGCATGCATGGGCTGTATGGGGATAACACGGAAGAGATGGACTGGATGCTGGGTAAGTGCCTTTTCCCGGTGAAAACAGGACTGGTGCCCCTTCCAAAACAGCAGGAGGAAAGGACATACAGAATGAGATGAGATTAATCCAGCCTGAAGCTGGAAGAGGCAGTGTGAGTAATGTGATCTCATTGAATGTGAAGGGTGTAAGCAAGCATAGCCTTTTCCTCACTGTGTTTGCTTTCTTTCTGCTTATCACACTGTCTTGGGTGGGTTGATTTTTTTTATTTTTCCCTGGAAGAACATAGATTAAAATCCCCATGGGTGGGATTGTCTTGCTCTGTTCTCCTCGTGCATCTCCTGGGTTTGGAATGATGAGTGGTATGACACAGAGTGCACATTTTTTTCAGTGGGTACATGGATATGGACACAGCCTCTCCCCTGAGTCTCAAGCAAGGACTTGGGTGCCCTTGGGTTGACATGGTGGTGGACAGAGAGGGCTGGGGCCTTCAGGATAATGGGAATCAGAGATTTGGGGAGAAAACATACTTTTAAAAATCCATTGAAAACATCACCTTGGAGGAAAATGCATCATTTGAGTGAATTGTTGGGGAAAACGTTGGAGGTTGGGAGACATGTAAGCAAAGATAGATGTCACATCATGTCCCCAGTGGGACTTCAGGAGAAACTCACTCATCATTGCCATTATGGTCCTTGTGTGGAAAAGATTAAGAATCACTGGAAAATACAGGCTATTTTATGTGATGTCAAATCTTGAGTGTTTAAAACAGAATTCACCATGCCACAATTTGAGGGAAAATCTTTTAAATGAATACATGTGCAGATATATGTAATCAAATACATATGGAATGATAAAGTCTGAAATTCTACAGTACAGAGTTAAGAACCCCCTAAGTCCATCAAGATAAGGAGCTCTTAAGACATAGTTCAAGAATCTTCTCTATGGCTTCAGTGCCTCTGTGTTCCAGTTTCAAACTCAATCAAGCCATGGTATGATAACTTTTTTAATGAAAATCATTGTCCTGGTGTAGGTAGGTGTGGGACAGGGGATATTTAGGAGAGAGAAACCATTTTGTCTCATACTATAATACTGGGTACATGGCATTATGCATTTAATCAAAACCCTTAGAATGTACAACAGTAAGAGTGAACCACCATAGAAACTACGGACTCTAGTTAATAATAGTTTATTAGTATTGGCTCTTTGATGTCACTATGACTCAGCTTATCTATAAAACCTAAAGCTGTTCTAAAAAAAAATAATATCTATTAATTAAAGGAAGGGGATTTCATAGAACCACAAATTTTAAATCTGTGGCCAAAACAAAGCAACTAAGACAAACAAATGGCTGAACAATGGATGGAACAAAGAAAGAAAAAATAGTGACTTGGTTAATTTTAAGCTAAGCAAATGGACAATTGTCTTAATTGTGCTCAATCAAACCAATGAAAATGCAGGGTCATCAGACCGTAGAAAAAACAAGACCCAACCCAAAGGACCTACTGTTTAAATATAAGGACACAGATAAGGTAGAAGTAAAAGCTATCCAATAACAGGATCTATTTGAGACCATAGTCAGCTTTCACAACACCGGGTCCTCATGAAAAAGTAGATTGAAAGTTTTGTCTACTGTTAGAAATAAAATAATATGATTCTTGCCATCCAATTAAAAAAAAAATCTCATAGACATGGTGAATTGCATCAACCATAAGATTTCCCTTTCATGTAACTATAAGAAACTTAGAGCCACAGTGTAAACTATTCTTCATCAATGGACATACATGGCCAATGCCATTGTCAGCCTCTTTCCTAGACCCTGTTTATCTCTTTCCTTTTTTTCCCCTCTTTCCCTTTGTTTAATTGAAGTATGGTTGACTCTATAATCTTCTTTTGCCTCCTTTTTAAGTTTTTGCTGTTTTGTCCTATGTAGTCTATACCCTGTAGCTTGCCTGAAACTTTTGGAAACAGAATAGGGCATATATGAATCTTGGGTCAGTGATACTCAGGATAGCATGATTTTACTGCTAGTTACTACCATTATATGTTAACACTAAAGGCTCATTCTCATGGAGAGGTCCAAAACGTTGAAGCATACACTGAATACTTTGGTTCAAGATAATTTTCCATTTTGACCAGCTCAAATACATGTATTCTTTGCAGGGCAGATCCTTGCTACTTTGGATATGGAAGGTTTGACTAACAGCACCCTTGTTTATTTTACATCGGATCATGGGGGATCTTTAGAGGCTCAACTCAGAAACAACCAGTATGGCGGCTGGAATGGAATCTACAAAGGTAGAGAGATGACCAGATTCTTGTGTATGGTCTTTATCCCACCCTCTAGTTCCCAACCCTTCCCATGGAATGGGTCCATCCACCTCAAGAGTCACCAGGGACTACTGCTTTTTATAATTTGTCATGTTCCTACTTGATTTTTTTTTCTTAGCACAATGCAGTGGTTTTTGGTATATTCACAGAATTGTGCAATCATCATCACCACTAAACTGCAGAGCACGGTCATCTCCACAAAAAGAAATTCGTACCCATTTGCAATCATTCCCTGGTTCCCCCTGTGCCCAGCCCCTGGCAACCACTGACTTATTTCAATCTCTGTATATTTCCCTATTGTAACCATTTCATGTAAATGGAATCATGCAATATGTGGTCCTAGGCCACTGGCTTGCATTCACATGATGTTTCCCAGGTTCATCCACATTGTGCCAAGTGTTAGTGCTTCATTCCTTTTCATGACTGAATAATCTTCCATTGTATGGATGAACCACATTTTGATTATCCACTCATCAAGTGGGATGGACTCAGGAATTAGGCAATGCATCCAAGGAGAGTGGTGGCCGCATCATATTCAAACTGGAATTCTATCAACTACAGACACATCATTATTGGGTGTACCCCAAAGATTATAAAACATGCTGCCAAAAAAAACATGGCACAATCACATTCTTTTCTGTTCATGTTTACACACAGGTGGCAAAGGGATGGGGGGCTGGGAAGGTGGGATCCGCGTCCCAGGGATCTTCCGGTGGCCTGGGGTGCTGCCAGCCGGCCGAGTGATCCACGAGCCCACCAGCCTGATGGATGTTTTCCCCACCGTGGTCCAGCTGGGGGGCGGTGAGGTGCCCCAGGACAGGTACAGAACAGCCCAAGGAAACCCAAGCAACTCAATTTTTCATAGAGACAAGCATATATGTGAAATGTCATTGTCACTTTTGAATTGTGTAACACATCCATGAGATTAGTCTCTGGGAAAACACTCTAGGCTCCTTGCTATTAGCTACCGGGCTCAGCTGTCTGCTTCATTTTATGCATAGAATGTCCATTTTCCTTCTCCTGATTCTTAAGTGGAGCCATTTTTTTATGGTGGTCATTGAAAAAATCTAACAATTTACCACAGGAAATTCCTTTTCATGTAGTGTGGTAGAGATTTTGCATAGATTCCAATTTCCTCTGTCTAAAAAATTATAGAAATTTTGGGGGGAAATAGAAAATAAAATTATTTCAGAATCTGATAATAAATTATGTATACAATATGTAATCATAATGATTATGCAATCATATAATAATAAATGTGGGATTCTCATAAGTTACATATTGTATGATATATATCATCTATCTAGATCTAGATCTAGATCTATCTAGATCGGTCTAGATATGTAGATTTAGATATATCATTTAGATATATTTTCCATGTTTTATATATATTTATGCAAATATATATTTAGAAATTTTTGTGCATAGACAAAAAAATTTAATGCCTTTATGTTATTTTCTTTCAACCATCCCCTTATATGTGGACATTAGCCTTGCCTTAAAAAAAAATACCTTCTTGTCATGTTATTGCCTGTCATAATTACCTCCTTAGTAAGAATCCCTTAGAGGGTGAATTCCTGAGTCAAAGAGTATGACTGTTTATAGGTAAATCTCTTGATATATTTTGTCAAATTGTTCCTTAGGAATCACTACTAGCCATATGTGAGATGTCTATTTTAAAACATAACAGAACTAAAATAAATATAAATTCTGTACATGTAATATATATATATATAAATTACTCATACGTGTCTATACAAATATACATATATGTGTATATTATAATTTTCACTGTTTTATCCTTAGAGAGGTTGAATATTTCATACCTTAATATTCTCCTGTTTTTTCTTGCACTGAATATCATATCTCTGGTTGATTATTTTTCTAAGTGGGTGCTAATTTTTAAATTAATGTATAACATATCTTTTGCTTTGAAAATAAAAATTTGTCTGACATGTATATTGCAAATGTGTTGTTGCACTAGAAGGTAAATAAATATAACCATATAGCATTGGATATATATATATATACACACACACACACACAGACACATAAACATATACATGTGTCTATGTGTATATGAATATATGTTTTTGGAAGTGTACATATATATATATACACACACACACACACACACATATATGTTGTAGATAGATAGATAAATAGATTCTTTTATTTCATTTTTCGTGGTAACTGGTAACTCTAATTAAAATCTACAGGGGTTCTGAATTCTCTACCTCGATGAAGAACATTAGTCAAATTAGGAAGAAAGATCCCTTTTTTATGGCTTTTCTAAGTTCATGGCATTTGTAAAAATCTATCCTCAGTACTGATGATTTACATTTGACACCCAAGATCCTGAAAACTGACCACGTCCCTGGGACATAAAATGCTCAGGGCCATCCCCTCAAATTACAAGTGGTGGATTTAGGCTTTCTCCTAAGAAGGGCGGAGAAAATGGAAATGGAATCCCAAGAAACCTCCATCCTGAATGGAAATGGAGCTGGATCTTGGAAACTGAAGAAGACAAGGAAGGGAAGGGGGAGGAAGACAAGGCAGGCAGGGATGGAGGAGGGGTGTGGAGGCAAGGCACTCTGCAGACAAGGAAATGGTACCCAGTGTTGATGAAGAATACACCATATACTATAATGGCTTAGAGTCCAATACAGTATAAAACCAAAAAGGCATTTCAGTGAATCTTCAGCTTATTCTTGCATTCCTAATAAGGTTGGGCAGGTAATAACTTAAGCCGAGCATGCTGGATCCTTGGTGATCTTTTAGCCAAAGGTGGTGTTTGTAGATGAATAATGGAGGTGGCTGTTCCAATGCTTCCCTAATTGCTAAGGCTCGAGCATGCCTTCCATGCACACTTGCAGCATCCCTGAGTCCCTGTGCTCCTGTCTGCAGGGTGATTGATGGCCGGGACCTGCTGCCCTTGCTGCTGGGGACAGCACAGCACTCTGACCACGAGTTCCTGCTGCATTACTGTGAGAATTTCCTGCACGCAGTCCGCTGGCTCCAACGGGACGGTGAGTACTCTGGGTGACTGAGTCACATCTTGGCTTCTGCTCTGATGGCTCTTCTTCACACTAGCTCTTTTCTCTCTTTCTTAGCAGTACCTTCCCCTGACTTCAGCAACATCGTTCCTGATGCAAGCCGTCAATCACCTTATCACCACATAACCATTGCTTAGGGGATTTTCATATGGCTTTCCTGCACACAAGTGTTCCAGTCTGCCTCTCACCTTTGAAGCCTGTGCTCTTAATCTACATTGGTTTCCACCTGTCTCAACCACCTTCACTCGATGACATGATTTCATCCTTGTAATAATCATAACTTTGTGACCTAAGCAGCAAAGCCCATACTGAATAATTTTTGCATTTCAAAATTTCCTGGGTTATTTTGGCCCAACTGGCCTTTTAAAGGAACTGTAAAATCATTTGCAAGATTTTTTTTAATCCCATGGGAATCTGAATTGGCTTTGCATCCCATGTGTAAATTAACTCAGGAAAAAGATTGGTTATCTTTACAGTATCAGATTTTCCCAACTGAAACATGTTATGTCCCTCCACTTATTCTTCTTATTTAAAAAGTATTCCTTTCATCAAGCATATTGTTTCTGTCCCAAGTAATTTCATTGTATTTTAATTGCCTCCATGTTTATATGAATCTATTGTCCATCTTCACCTAACTGTCATTCCCAGAGGTTTTCTGTTTTCAGGGATTATTTTTCTTTTAAAAATTCAGTTCTTGCATTTACTTAAGAACTGTTATTTTTAAATTTTATACATAATTGATTTCTGCTGCTACCTTTATCTTCTGATAACAGAGTTTTCACCTATTTGAGTGGCTTTTCGTCATTTCCATCTCCCTATTACTCTGTCGTTTCCTGATATTTTCTCCTGTCTTTTGGATTTGCCTTACAGATTGATTAGATTTGTGACTTTGTGATTGCATAGGTTTTGTGATTCTTTTTTCCTCCAGTGTTTGGGAAGGGCTGTATTCTCCTTGTGATTTAACTCATCTTTCCATTCCTATTCTCTAGAAGTCTTTGGCCCTCTGAATCAAGAGTGAAGAAATACCTCTTGGGATCTCCCTTATTTGAGGAAGCTACCATAGACTTTTTTTTCTTTGAATGTCCCTCCCTTTACATCCATTCTTTTCAATATTATTGTAATCTGGTAAGGCTTTTATTGTTACCTTTCATTTGTTTAAATTATGTATTACACATTTCCTTCCCTTTTGGGGGGTTTTCTAAAAACTGTCATTCCATTGTATATCTCAGTCTACATCCATGCATGCCTGGCAGCACAAATAACTGGGTCCAGTGTTCAAATCTGTTCTTGTACATTGTGGCTACCCCATTACTGACCCCTCATCTCTCAGTCATTGGGTGAATACTTCTGTATTTTTTCAAGGGGAGTAGATGGGGAGTGTATTCCCATTATCCAAGCCTCTTCAGTGGCACCTTAACTGGCCTTCACAGATCCACTGTTTATCCTACATGCATAATCCACTTAGCTCCCTTCTGAAAGCCATCCCAAGACCACCCGCAGCACACACATTGGAACAAATTCCTCCAAATTCCTCCTTGTCCTATGAGCTAGCCCCCCCAAATCTTTGAGAACACTCACAGGGGGACAGGATCTCCATGTGACTGGCTCATTCCTGATATTCAAAGGCAATATTACCTTCTCAGCAAGGCTTTCTTGACCCAAACAATTCCCCCATGGTGCACCCATGGCCCCCACACACTCACACCTTCACCATCGTCTTCCACACTGCAGTTTTCTTATTTCTGTGTGTTTACCACAGTTGGGCCTGTTTCCCCTCACTAAGATTTTGTCTGTCTTCTCTTTGTGCTCAACACATTTGCTGAATTATGATAGCAATGAGTGACCTTTAATGAGCATGAGATGGATAGTATTCCATTTCACCCTGGAAACAATGGCAGATGAGGATGGCTATCCCCAGGTCACAGGTGAGCAAGCTGGGAGCTGCTAGGTCACCATAAGTGCTCAGAGGCAGACAGAAGCCAGAGATTTTAATCACAGGGTACACGTCTGTAAATACCAAAGCACAGTGGTGCCAAGCCCAGGGAGCAGGACTCAGGCAGGGGGTAGGAAAGAGGGAGGCATGCCCTCCTTTGCACACACTTGCTAGGTGCACAGGGCTGTGCTTCCTGGCCTCCTTCTTAGATCCCAGGAGCAGCCCTGATCCTGACCCATATCTGTCCCTGCTTCCTGGTCTTTCTGCCCCTGGAGCTGCTCCTGGAGGAGGCAGGCCCACCAGAATCCTGCTCTCTACCCTCCAGTTACACACATGACTTCCCCAGACTCACTGCCCTGTGGCGGATACAAAGGATGGGCACGGAGGCCTCCCTCCTGAAGCAGCAGGAAGCCAGGGAGGCTAGGCTGTGCGGCTAGCACAACCCAACTCTGGGCAGGAGGCTGGTGCAGGGACCTCCATGGCCCCTCCTTCCATTCTTTCAAAGTCCCTTCCTGAGGCAGAGCTCGGTCTGGTGCCCTCCCAGAGGCTGGAGGTGGTTTGCTATGACTTGCTCCGCCCTTCCCCTTTCCTTCCTTCCTTCCTCCTTCCCTCCCTTCCTTTGCCTACCGATGTTTTCCTGTGGCTGCCTTCCTAGCTAGCTGCCAGGAGCCTTGGAGCAAGCTTCAGGAGAACGCTGTTGCCATTTTAAGGCTCTGAGCATCCTGCCTGGAACTACCTAAGACCTGAGGAATTCCCTCCTTTGCAAACAGTTGTACCGAGCCGGAATTCAGTCTTAGCAGACCGCCAGGGACTGGTGGCTTACAGACAACAAACTTACTTCTCCCAGTTCTGGGGGTTGGACACCCTTAGATGGGCTTCTGCTGGGCGGTAGACTACCACCTCCTTGCTGTGTCCTCACGTGGTGGAGACACACAAGGGAAGCAAGCTCTGTTCTGACTCTCGTAACGACACTCATCCCATTTTTGAGGGCTCTGTCCTTGTGACCTGTTAATCTCCAAAGCCTCCACCTCCCAATTCCATTCTGTTGGGGGTCAGGGATGCAATATATGCATTTCGGACGGACACGATTTCAGTCCCTAACATTCACACACTGTAAAATTCACTCGTTTAAAATGTACAACTTTGGGGCATTTGGCATATTCACCATGTTGTGCAAACATCACCTGTATCTAGTACCAGGACATTCCCTTCCCCCAAAGAGACCCTGTCCTCATTAGCACTCACCCCCCATTCTCCTCCCCAGCCTCTGGCATCCACTCTTCTCCTTTCTGGGTCTATGGATTTCCCTGTTGTGCACGTCTCATACAAATGGGATCCCGCACTCTGTGGCCTTGTGTGTCTGGCTTCTCTCACTGAGCATCCTGTTTTTGAGGTTTATCCACAGGTCTCAGAGCTTTATTTATTTTTATGGCTGAATCTCATCCCATGGTGTGGGTGGACCACATCTGTTCATCCATTCATCTGGGCTTCTCTCCAGCAATGCATTCTATTTCTCCACGTCAACCTTCTGAGATTCTTGTCCTTCCCTCAGGAGGAAGACTATGGAAAGTCCACTACACGACCCCAGTGTTCCACCCAGAGGGAGCCGGCGCCTGCTACGGGAGAGGGGTCTGCCCGTGCTCCGGGGACCAAGTGGCCCATCACAACCCACCTTTGCTCTTCGACCTGTCCAAAGACCCTTCCGAAGCCCACGCCCTCACCCCGGACACGGAGCCCTTGTTCTATCAGGTGATGGACACGGTCGCATGGGCCGTGGAGGAGCATCGCCAGACGCTCAGCCCGGTTCCTCTGCAGCTGGACACGTGGGGCAACATCTGGAGACCTTGGCTCCAGCCCTGCTGCGGCCGGTTCCCCCTCTGCTGGTGTGATTGGGAGGGAGACCCAGAATCACTGACTGCCAGGGAGAGCTAGCTCCTTCCCTGATCCCCGCACTTCTGGTCGAAATACAACTCCCCGGTGAAGTTCAGTCGTCGTCCGTTTACGTGGGTGGAATAGTTTTGCACTTCAAAACACAAAAGGTATAAGGAAGACGCAGCGGCATGCAGTCACCCCCAAGTAAACCAAACCACCGAAGGGTTGTTCAGGCCCCCTGCCCCCCAACAACGAAATGAGGAGTAAAGATCCTCCGGCCATGGGGATTTCCATCACCGGACCCCAGCCCCACCTGGAGGAGGCTGCTCTGTCCCTATCCAGAGTTCACAGTCCCAGTGGAAGGTATTTCTGTACCAAATGGATTTGCAGACAAAGGCCAGGTGAGCACCAAGTATAAGTAGCCCTGAGAAGGTGTGACAGGGGCCAATTTAAAGAGTGTAGGTTTATTAACTCTTTTCAAGCGATTATTCTCAGTGAATGGCTGCCTTAGAAATTTAGGGAAACCCAGAATTTGGGGGCTGTGCTGGGTATTCAGTGTTCTTCCGCTCTGAATTGGGAGGTCACTGCATGAAGACCAAGCTCCCAGGTCACTGGCTTTGCACTGGACATGCCCAGGATGGGACACCAGCAGGATGGGGATTTTATTCCAGACCCCACACCCAAGTCCCTCTCTCTGCACACACACACCCCTGCGCCCCATCACTATCACTCTGCTGAGGCCACCAAAACAACCACCAAGGCAGTAGCCTTAACCCCGTAAATTTATCCCTTCAAAGCTCTGGACGGGTGAAGTCCGAGATCAAGGCGTGGACAGGTTGGGCTTCTGCGGAGGCCTCTCAGGAAATGTGAGCTAACTATCTCTGCCAATTCAAAGGCAAAAAGGTCTTTTCTCCAGACAGATCCTTCAGAAATGAGTTTTCAAGAAACACCCCCAGGAGAGTTAAGGCAACCTACCCCAACCCCCAAGCTTTTGGCAAACCTTAATTCGCAATTACTATCTCCACAAAATGCAGAACTGAGTTGGAAAGGGAAAAAGAGACCTCGGGGCAGCTAATGGGCTCCAGGACGTGGATATGACCACCAGGTAGACCCCAGATGTCAAGTCCCTGGGTGCGGGTCTAACTAGCCTAGGTCACATTTAACCCCTGCCCCCACCTTGGCCATAGAGAAGGGGGCTGGCATCCTGGACCCTAGTGAAACAATTCGCATCCAGGCAGCCTGCTTGCACGCGGCCAATCCCCAGACCTTTCGAGAGCTTGCTGGAAAAGGGGGCTCCCTGGCCGAGGGCTGCTGGGGTTCCCCGAGTGCAGGCCCAGCCGGGATTTAGCATCCTCTCCTCCACCCCAGTCTCCCGGGAGTGCCCGCCCCGAGGCGACTGGGACTCGGAAAACCGGTTTCCAAGATCAATTCCCGGAAGGCCCGGGGCGACAGGAGATTAAACAGATTGGGGCGGGACCCGGCCCTCCCGCCCGCAGGGCTCCGCTGCGTGGGCGGGTCCCGGCACCTGGTGCTGGGGACAAGGTCCTGCGCGCCCGGCCCGCGCGCGGCCATGGGACCCAGGGCTCCGAGGGGACGCAGCGCGCCAGCTGTCAGGTGCGCGGGGCCCGAGGACGCGGCCCCCACTCGGGACGGGGATGGGGGCTTGGGGAGGTGCACACTGCGCGAGAGTGGTCTCCGCGACGCGCGCGCGGTGTGTGCGCCTTGGAGTCACCAGAACGCAGCTAGACGTCCGTCCCGCAGTCGGAGGGGCGCGGGACCAGAGAGCTGGTTGGAGGGGAGGGCAGACGAGGCCAGACGGAGGGAAGTGGGGGGCGGCCAGCGGAAGGGGAACCGCCGGGCTGGTGCTCGGAGGCCACGCCCCGGCAGAGAGAGGCCTGGTCCCCATCCCCCACTGCGTAGGACGCGCTCCCTCGTCCCGAGTACCCCCCACGAGCAAGGCATGCCCCCCGAACACTCTCCCCCTCAGAGCGCTGCGGCGTGCCCCCTGGGTCCAGCACGTGCTCCCAGCCACCCACCCCCGGAGTGCGGCCGTGTCCACAGACCCCACTCTCTACGACAGGCCCGGCCCCCGCCTTGATTCCGTACCCCCCAACAGCACGGCGGCGTCCCCCTCTCTAGCACACGTTCCCCCCCCCACGCCCCACTCCTTTCCTTCCCCCATCCCCGCCTCGTTCGGCCCCCCACCCCATCCCAGCACGGCCGCACCCTCCCCCACTCTGAGACACTTCCGACCCAGCCCCTGGATCCCCGCCTCCCAGAGCGCGCCTCTTCCTCCTTGCACGGCCCCGCCCCTGCCCGGCCCGGTCCCCCAGCTCGAGCCCCAACCCTAAAAACCTGCGCAGTCCCCCAGGACCCCTTCGCCGGAGCGCGGCCGTGCCCCCTCCTACTGCTCCCCACCGCCCTCTAAGACGCGCCAGGCCAGCTCCCCGCCCGGAATGCGGCCGCCCCCTCAACCCTCCGCCAGGCCCTGTCCCGCCGGGCCTTCCAAGTCCCTGTCCCCGTGCTGCGGACTGCGGGCGCACCAGGGCGCAATCAGGGGACCGGGCAGCACTGGGGGCCCTGCCGGGGGACTCCGGGGCACGCTCGAGCTGCCAGCCAGCAGCCAGGAATAAGGATCAGGGCGCTCCAGGCCCCGCGTCCCTCCCGGTTTATGGGGCGGGCAGGGCCGGGGATCCGTGTCCGGGACGCCCCAGATCCCTTGTCCCGCGCGGTCGCGGGTGCGCCCCGGCCTCGCCGGCAACGCGCGCTCCAGGCCCGTGTTGTGTCTCCCTGTCGTGGCTGGGGTGCTTTGAATCCCACATTCTTCCTTTTAAAACGCATGTCTCCCGCTGCTCCAGCCCTCTGGGTCCGCCTCCCTCCTGTGCGGTCGCTCCGGGGTCGACCGGCGCGCTCTGGCCTCCTGTGCGCCGGGAAAGGGAGGAAGGCGCGGCCCGGAAGGCAAGCGCTCAGCCCTCTGATCCTGCCCTTTAGGGAGCGCGCCACACCAGTAGCAGGATTAATGACCAAGGGGAGGGGAGGAGGTACCTGGACAAAGCCCTCGCGCGTTCCCGTTTTCTGCTCCGCGTGTCAATGTGCGAGCAGTCAGAACAAAAGGAACCAGCACCTGGATGGGATCCCTCGGTAAATCCTAATTTAGGGCAAATGCATGTGCCTTCCCAGCAAGCCGCTTTGAAATACCGACTGAGCATTCCAGATCGTCGACGTTAATTTTGGCCTTTTTTTTGCCTCTCCAGGGACTCTTTGTCGGTTCTACTCCTTCTATGTTTGCTCTCGAGGACTTCCGAGTTAAATGTTGCAAATGCCTTTAAACCCAATATTCTACTGATAATGGCAGACGATCTTGGCATTGGGGATCTTGGTTGCTATGGGAACGATACGCTCAGGTATAATGTCCTGGTGATGCTGGGGGTCCTGGTGCTGTGTGTGTGTGTGTATGTGTGTGTGAGGGGCTGCATCTGGCTGAATGATGCATTTAAAACGTGCCTGTGGTGGGAAATTCCTTAGCGCATCAGATCTGAACACCCAAGAAATTATTTTTTGATCGGGAAGCGGGGTCCTAAACTGAAATGTTCAAACAACGCGGCACCCTGGTGGGTGGGTGTATTCCTTTCTTATGGCTGCCTGAACAAAGGACCTCCAATGGAGTAATTTTAGACAACAGGAATTTCTTCTGTTTCAGTCCTGGAGACCAGAAGTCTGAGATCCAGGCGGGATAGGGGTGCTGAGATCCAGGTGGGGCAGGACCATGCTCCCTCCCAAGGCTCCAGGGGAGGGTCCTTCCTGTCTCTTCCAGCTTCTGGGGCTCCAGGCATCCCTGGGCTCATGGCCGTGTTCCTCCCATCTCTGCCTCCGTCCTCATGTGGCTTCTCCTCTGTGTCCGTGTCTCTTCTGTCTCTTACAAGGACACCTGTCATTGGATTTAGGGCCACCCTGATCCAGGATGAGCTCATCTCAGATCCTTAACTAATTACACCTGTAAAGACCCCGTTTCCAAGTCACAGGTCCTATTCACAAATACTGGGGATTAGGATGTAGCAGCTCTGCCCCTGCGGCTGCTATTCACCCATGGGGGGAGCTTAGTGCACATTCACAGTATGCAAGCTTCTACACCAGCCCTGCTGGCAAACATGTGGACGATGATGTTTGCGTGGTCTATGCAACAGGAGGAGAAAAGGAAGCAAAGCACCTCATTCCCTTTCTTTTAGGAAGGCCACCACCCCAGTATCATACAATCTGCCTTGGGACTGGCCTACAGAGACCCGGGCCCACCCCCTTTGGTTGCAGTCTTCCCGACTGCAGCAGAACTCTGCCCTGTGTATGCAGGGATCTTCCTTCCCCATGCTGAGCCTGCCCAGTTGTACTTGCCAGACAGGCCATTCACCCAGTGAAACTGGACAATTCATTGGCTTCTGGTATCTTCAGAGAAGTGCATCCATCACCACGGTGCATTTTAGAATATTTTCACACCCCAAGAGAACGCCTTGCCCTCTCCGAGCCATCTCTCCCTGTAATGGACTGAATCGTGTCCCCCGGGATTCGAATCATGAATTCCTAACCCCTCAGGACCGTTTGCGGCCTGCCGCTTTGGGTTAAGAAAATGTAAGCCATTAAGAAATTAAGAAACTGGGAGTGCATGCCCAATACCACCACTAGGGGGGCAGCGCCCATGATTATTATTTTTTTTTTTTTTATGTCCAGTGTTTCGCCTTCCAACTAAAATATAGGCCGAGTGGAAGGAGGGTCTTTGGGGGCATCCTAAAGCCGGCAGGGATATTCTCTTAATTTAATGCATTGACTCATTGATGAAGACATTGAGCCAACAGACCACATGGGTTGCAGGGCGCCCCTTACCGACGTGGGGGCCATGCCCTTCGCGATCCGCCTATAAGGAATGTGGGCATTCTGCACAAACCTACCACACTTCCCTGGTGTTCAAAATGTTGTCTCCACCGCATGTCCACCCACCCCAACATGAGCACGGCACACCCCGTTTAACAGTTCTGTCCAAGTAAGCTCTCAAGGCTGACAGGTAGAGGACTTAACTTGGGTTTAAGAACCACCCGGTTTAGAGAAGCTGTCTTTGCTTTCGAGCACATGCTGTAAGGCCTCCTTCCCTTCATCCTTAGGAGATTTGCTATGACACTGTTCCAACTCCTTTAGCACATAGTAAGTGAAGCTTCACTGGTAAGCCGTCCCGTAGAATTCTCTCCAGCAACCACGGTATTCACTGTGCATGCCTAAATACGCTGGAAGGCGCTTGTGTTCGAAATCAGGTGAGACACCCTTGTTTGCCAATCACTCTGGTCGCGCATGTGGGCCACACCAGGTCTGTCTTTCATATCTGGCCTCGTAAGAAATGGAAGTTGAGAACCCATGAGCTGTGTGATGAATGTGTAGTTACCAAGGGTCAGCGGAACAGGAAGTCAGGACAGAAGAGGGGGCCCCGGGACTGGCTCTGTGGCCCCAACCCTGCTTCTGAATAGCTGTGCCATCAGTCACACGTCCAGCCTCGGTTCCCCCGCTTGATATAAGGCCATTGGATGATCTCCATGTTTCCTTCTGGGTCCATGATGCAAAACATGGAAGGGACCCCCTGATGCTCAAACAGCAAAGCCACACCAGACATGTGTGAATGACGGAGACAAGTCTGTAAGTACATGTGAAACCTGCTCGTTTTATTAGCATAATAGGAAGAAAAGATCTCTCTTCTTTCAGGAAAATCTCATACATGCCCTGCCCCTCCGTTCCTTTCATGAGAGTCACTGGGCTGTTTCTCAGCATATTTATATCATTCTCAGACACTATCATACTTTCTCTCTGTTTTTAAAATGAAAATATCCCACAGGCCAGAGGGTTATTTAAAAGGAAAAGAATGCATAAAAAATGAAAGGCACTTGAGAGTAATATTTTAAGATTATATTTGCCAATCAACTTGGTTAGGGAAAGAAGGAAATCACATAAATTGATTGAGAAGCACAGAATTTAAAATCAGTAGCATTTTTCCTGTTTGAAGGTATCTTTTAACAAGTAGAGGGATGAGATTCTGCAGAAGATTTCGATGCTGAGGTTGAAACCTGTGCTGTTTTTCATTCTGTTCCACAATGTAGATAATCATGAAGACATCTGTAAGAGATAAATACTTGAAAGAAGAGAGAGAGATAGCTAGACAGACAAATGGATGTATGGATGGATGGATGGATGGATGGAAAGATGGAAGGAAGGAAGGCAGGCAGGAAGGGTAGAAAGATGGATGGAGGGATGGATGGATGGATGAATGGATGGATGGAAGGAAGCATGAAAAGAGGAGTGAATAGATAAGTGAATGAATGGATGGATGGAAAGATGGATGGAAGGATGGGTAGATAGATGATAGATAGATTGGTAAATAATAGATGGACTATTGGATATCAAACTAGAGATGAGTGAATGAATGCATGGATGGAAAGATGGATGGAAGGATGGGTAGATAGATGATAGATAGATTGGTAAATAATAGATGGACTATTGGATATCAAACTAGAGATGAGTGAATGAATGCATGGATGGAAAGATGGATGGAAGGATGGGTAGATAGATGATAGATAGATTGGTAAATAATAGATGGACTATTGGATATCAAACTAGAGATAGAACTTTGGTAAACTGAAAAATAGGTCAGAGCTAATATAATTATACCTAATTAGTAGAATCCTATAAGCCCTTGCAATTCATGTTCATAGTTTAGTCAAAAAAAAAGTAAATTTTTACAGTTGGGTTATTGAAAACAACCAGCATGAGTACAGAATGGGTGATTTTTTTTTTTTAAGATTTTTAATTTATTTATCTGAGAGAGAGAATGGGAAACAGAGAGCATGAGAGGGGGAGGATCAGAGGGAGAAGCAGACTCCCTGCCGAGCAGGGAGCCCGATGCGGGACTCGATCCCGGGACTCCAGGATCATGACCTGAGCCGAAGGCAGTTGCTTAACCAACTGAGCCACCCAGGCGCCCCCAGAATGGGTGATTTTTAATAACAGCATTTCTATTTCGGTTGGTTGCAATTTTAAAGAGTCAAAGGTGACCAAAGTGGCCAGAACAGTCTTGACTGACACGGCTATTCTCCAAAAACAGAAGCACGGCAGGGCCCCAGCAGCTGCCTGAAGGAGCGGGTATCTGAAATAGTAGCTTCAGCTGTGGTTTCTGGGCATGCAGGAGGGGCCTGGAAGCCACAGCTGAGTGAGTACAGACAACAGTTTGCGCACAAGAGGGAGAAGGGCACTCTCTATCTTTAAATACGAACAAAGCCATCAGAAAAAAAGCTTTAGTGGTCACAAAGTGGACGGGTGGTTGTGAACTATCGGAAAATCTATGATGAATGGAAGATGGGAGCCTGAGGATGGAGGTGCTTGAGCCACAACCCCCAGAATGCCACACTCGGTGGATTTTTTAAGTCACACGGATAAGGTGTGACTTAAGGAGGTATTAAACCCTCCTCTGGCACTTCCTAGCTCCAGGGACGGACAAGTGGCTCAATCTCCCAACTTTGCTTGCCTCCTTGCAAACAGGGAGATCACTCCGATGACTAAGAAATAGTTGGGATGAAAGATAACACAGGGATTCCAAAAATGCAGCTTTTCACTTTAATAATCTCCAAAGGTGTTATATTATTATATTACTACACTAACTCAGAACTTACTTAGTGACCTCCCATGCATTTACACCAAACATCTTTTGAACACTTTCCTTCTGCCCATGACCTCTGTGCTTAACCAGCTTCGAGGATTTTGAAGAATACACATAATTTTTCTTTTTTTTTTTTCAGACAATATATACTATGTTCACTCAGAGGGATCAAAACAAAAGCAAAAATTAAAACTAAAAATGTGTTCTTCAAAATTGGCAATACCATCTGAGTTAGTAAGAAAGGTATTTACCAACGTTTGGAGAATGGTCTTGGCCGTGGTCTTGATGCGTCTGAAAGTTCTTGAACCCAAAAGCCCACAGTAGGACTTTGGGATGCCCGCTGGCTCCTAGAAGTCCTTCAGTTGGCCTATAGCTCCTTCAGGATTCATCTTATTTCTATCCTCTCTCCACAAAACTTATGGACAGGGACCCTCTGGGACACCTGGCATCCTTCCACTAGCAAGCAGTTTGGGTCACAGGGATTTGGAAGTGGCTTGTGTCCAAGAAAATAGCATCCACTAGCGCTATGACTCAGCCTGGGGCTGCCCAGACCCTCAACAAAGCCATGGTCACTTCTGCGTGCTCTGGGAGAACAGGGACACTTAGAGGCTCTTCTCCCTGGTAGATGATGGTTGTGGACCACTCTCAGCTCCCTCAGCGCCCTCCACCAACACTCATACTCGGCAAAGAAGCCCTCCACACATGCCTCAAGTCCCCTCCAAAGATCCCTTTAACCTTGGGGCCATTGGACCACCTGCCCAGTAAAGAAGTTTTAGGTATCGGCTCTCAAAGATTCTATTCCAGCCAATATAAATATTCCAGCCAGTGGCTTCAGTCTTCATGTCTTCCTGTCTCTCTTTAATCCACTTGCTCTCTGCTAGTTAACCCTTCCACGTGGAAACCTGGTGGTGTAGGCAGGAAAGGGGCACTCCTTCCCCATTCAATTGGGAAGACGCTTTCCCGTTTGTGAAATAGAGCATGCTCACAGAGGAGCAAAGAGTAGCAAGCTCTGAAAGACCCACCTTCCTGGCCACAACTTCCTGGCTGACAAAAGCAGACACCAAGAGCAAGATGGTGCACAACTCTTATCACTACACACAGCAAAAGCATCAAGGGAAGCTTGTTCCTGGCCACCAAGACCTTTGGGTGATGTGGTGGGCTGAGATGGTGGCTGTGCACGCAGTGGGTTGGGCCGCAGTCCCGGACCGGGGAGAAGGGCTCAGCACCTTCTGCAGCAAGTGGTCCTCAGTACATGTGCTCATGCTGGTTGTTTTGGGGGTGGGTCCGTCTGCCTCTGCAAGACACCATATGCAACTAATTGTAAGACCCTCAAGAAATACTCATGTACTCCGTGCCGTGCCTTTTGGTGCAGGGATCCCTGTAAGCATCCATCTTGACGGAGATGTTTGTGTGTGGTTTGCACAGGACACCCAATATCGACCGGCTTGCAGAAGAAGGTGTGAGGCTCACCCAGCACCTCGCGGCCGCCCCCCTCTGTACCCCCAGCAGATCTTCCTTCCTCACGGGGAGGCACTCCCTCAGATCAGGTCAGTGTTGTGGGGATGACTGAGAAAGGGGCATGTCTGTGTCCACTCATTACTTGTCCTTAATATTATTAGCGGTGGTTGAGATCCAGGGAAAATGGTGCAGATATAATCTGTGGTGGCATCACCTAGAACTTACATAAAGAATACTGTGTTTTAGGTAGTCATGCAATGATTTGGTTGATTGGGAATTCAGAGTCTGGAACTCTCCAAGGGTAGCTGGTTATGGTTGACATTGTATTTATTTGTTTAAATATTTTAGTCGATCTTGATGTGTAGTCATGATTTCAGACAGGCTCTGAGAGAGCATGTAGGGAGCTGAATAATGGTCCCCGAAGATCCCACATCCTAATTCCCAGGGTGGGTGAATGTTTCCTTATATGGCAAGGGGGACTTTGAAGATGGGATTAGGTGAAGGATCTTCAGATGGGAATGTTATCCTAGATTATGCAAGTGGCCCAGTGTCATCACAAAGGTCCTTCTAAGGGGAAAGCAGAAGGGTCAGAGTCGGAGAGGGGCAAAGAAGAGGTTGGTGAGATGCACTGTGAGGCTGCAGGAGGGGGCCCTGATTTGTTTGTCAGTCTGCTTAAGCTGAATGCATGCACACCCTGTGACCCAGCAATTCCTAAGTAGGTGCCCAACATGTACACACATGCACGTTCTACAAAAGATGGAATGAGAACGTTCACAGCAGCATTGTTTGTACGGTGCAAACACGGACACAGTTCATCAGCCGAAGAGTAAGTTAATAAACTGGTACATTCACATACTGGAATATTGTTGTATTAGTCTGTCTGAGCTGCCGTACATAATACCACAGAAGGACCAGCCTAATCAACAGAGATTAATTTTCTGATCATCTGGGAGGCTGGGGGTCTGACATCCAGGCGGGGCTGGAGGCTGGGAGTCTGAGATCCAGGCGTGGGCAAGGCTGGTTCCTCCTGAAGCCTCTCTCCATGGTGTGTAGACTGCCTCCTCCCTCTGTCCTCCCATGGTCGTCCCTCTATGAGTGTCTGTGTCCTCAGCTCCTCTTCTTATAAGGACCCCAGTCCTATGGGGTCAGACCCCACCCCGATGACCTCATTTTTACCTCTTTAAAGACCCTATCTTCAAACACAGTCACATTCTGAGGTGCTGGGGGTCAGGTCTCTATGTGCAAGATGCTAGTAGCAGCCACGCTCCCCATCGAGTTGTGACAACCAAAAATGTCTCCATGCATTGCCAAATGTTCCTTGGGGGTCAGAATTACCTTTGGTTGGGAACCATTGCCATAGATAGATCATGGATAGAAGATATTGATAGATATAGATAGATAGATAGATGATAGATAGATAGATAGATAGATAGATAATAGATTGTTTGATAGATGATAGATTAATAGATTGATAGATGATAGATAGGTGGATAGATGATAGATGAATAGATGGGTGGGTGGGTGGATGGGTGGATGGATGGATGGATAGAGATAGATGGTAGATATAGATAGATACATAGATAGATGATAGATGATAGATATAGATGATAGATAGATAGATAGATAATAAATTGTTTGATAGATGATAGATTAATAGATTGATAGATGATAGGTGGATAGATGATAGATGAATAGATGGGTGGGTGGGTGGATGGGTGGATGGATGGATGGATGGATAGAGATAGATGATAGATAGATAGATATAGATAGATAAATAGATGATAGATGATAGATTGATAGATGATAGATAGGTGGATAGATGATAGATGAATAGATGGGTGGGTGGGTGGATGGGTGGATGGATGGATGGATAGAGATAGATGATAGATAGATATAGATAGATAAATAGATGATAGATGATAGATTAATAGATTGATAGATGATAGATAGGTGGATAGATGATAGATGAATAGATGGATGGATGGATAGAGATAGATGATAGATATAGATAGATACATAGATAGATGATAGATGATAGATATAGATGATAGATAGATAGATAGGTAGATAGATGATACATGATAGATGAACAGATGGATGGATGGATGGATGATAAAGAGAGAGAGAGAAACAGACAGAATCTCTCATGCCAAGGCAGGGTTTCTCAACCTTAGCACTGCTGACATTTGGGCTGGATGATTCTCTGTGGTAGGGGCATCCTGGGCACCGTAGGGTGTTTCCCCTGCCAGATGCCAGTAGAACCCCTCCTGCAATTGTGACAACCCAAACCAACCCCAGACAGGGTGAAGAGTCCCCCGGTGTGGGCCAAGTTCCTCCCCAGGCAAGAACCCCTGCTGTAGTCAAGGGAGAGTGAGTGCTTGCTCTCTGCTCTGCTCCACAGGCATGGAAGCCGATGATGGGTACCGTGCCCTCCAGTGGAACGGGGGATCGGGCGGACTCCCCGCGAATGAAACCACATTTGCGAGAATCCTGCAGCAGCAAGGTTATGCAACCGGACTCATAGGTGCTCAAATGGTTCAGGGGGATGGAGAATCAACCATCAAAAGCACCTGTTTCCCAACAAGGCGAAAACATCACGTGTCAGAACCAAAATAGGGTGCTGACCCCGTCTGATCTCTCTTGGATTGGTCACATTGTTGGAATTTCTGTCATTGACAAGCAATTTTAATTCAACATCTTGCGAGATTTGCCTCTTTCCTTCCATTCCCAGGCTTTGTATTAGGGGCTGGTCTCATAGGCACCCCACTGCATGGCACCCCCCAAAACTCCAGCCTCCAGAAGGAAAGCAGGTGTTCAGCAAAACCACATTGTGCAAACATTTTAGACACAGAGCCACACTTACTATTTAGGGAATGATGGGAATCTTCTGGAGAGCCGATTGTCACACATCATTAGTCAAGGGCCAACCTTGTAAGACCACCTGTCTGAGAACGGCACTCTGACACCTGCTAGGTGACTTCTTTACAGATGGGCGCCCACCTGTCATGGACCACAGGCTTGTGACCACTTTCGTTCCTTGCTTCAGCCTGTGGCTTTAGAAGTGGTATCCGTCTTAGAGGAATCAGAGGCCAGATGACGAGGGCGTCTTCCCCGACCCCTCAGTCAAGGGAGGGCTGGGTCAGGTCTGTGTGCAGGGGGTCCCATTCGATTCCTCACCAGCTCTTCCACACTCAGAGTCGCTGTTGAGTTCAGAAGGGACTATGACACCCCCACTTTGTCAGGGCAGTGATTGGCTGGAGGTGTGGGTAATCACCCTTACCCCCTTTTAAAATGTCCTGCTACTTTAGAAATAGAGATTATGTAGATTTACTTCCCACAGTGCTGGAGGCTGAGCAGTCCAAGATCCAGATTCCGTGTCTGGTGAGGACCCTCATCCTGCTTCACAGATGACTGTCTTCTCTCTGTGTCCTCACATGTGAGAAGAAGGGGTGAGGATCTCTCTGGGGCACTAATCCCATTCACAGGGGCTCCACCCTGAGGATCTGATCTCCTCTCCAAGGTCCCACCTCCAAATACCATCAACCTCAGGGTCAGGTCTCAACATAGGAATTTTGGGGAGACGCAGATATTCAGAATATAGCATATCCCATTTTCAAGGACTTTGTATACATCTGCTCTATCGCCTATATTTCTCTTTTCAATCCTAAGAAGTAGAGCAAAGCTTCTTAGCCACGCAAATTGACTGGAACTTTCCATTACCAACTCACCACCGTTGGGTCAATGTCCTTGACCCCACAACAACCCAGGTATCTCCTACTCTGTGGGTGGAATTGTGTTTAAAACTAGATGAGTAGATTTATTTTGTGTTTACTGGACTTGCAGACCTGTGTATCGGTTCGTTCTGTGAATCTTTATTCTTCTCGTGCACACACCCCATCTATATTCAGACAAGGCTGTTCTTCACATTCCAAATGGTAGAAAGTGGACAAGATGGAGACCGTCCTGTATACTTTTCGTCTCCACCTATTTCACCCCATCTCAGCATTTTCACTTTCATAAATGTAAGCAGGCATATGAAGGAATGTCCCTGGGCTTGGAACTAAAACCAATCCTACAAGTTCTGAAGACTCTTTGTGAGTCATGGGAGGGAAGAGCAGGGCAGGGACCCAGTTTAACCTCTGCACTTGGAAATTATGGCAAGTAGTACCTTGGACCCTTTTCTGTTCTATCTTGTAGCTAAATTTAAGCTGGCTGAGCATCTGGAGAGAACCCAATTCTATATATCCTGCTAGAATTTGATAGATGGGCTTCCTCATGTTCCATCTCAATGATATTATAAAATTACTGCCTTTGGAAAAAATCTATTATAAGCAATTCTTGCTTACTAGTTATTAGAGTGAGTCAGTTCCTTCTGCTCTATCATAAGATTATTCTAGAGCCAGCTCCTGTTATCAAGTAGTTGTCTTTTAAGTAAGAAATATCGTAAGTGATGTTTTCTGAGTTATTTAATAGCAGAATAGTCTAGGGTTGCAAATTGTAATTCCCAACAGTCCAGAAAACCTTAAACCTTTAATCTTCTTTTTCTTTAAACCTTTAATCTCTTGATAACGATCATGACCTCCATACGTTTGTTCACTATCTGCAAAGTGCAATGTAACCATTTAAAAATACACCAGTATCAAACATTCATTTTATTCCTTTCTATCTCAAATTTATATCATGTTCCTTTTTTTTTTTCAGATTTTGCTGTTTGCATACCTTTATTTTCATTGGAGCATCCAAATTATTGAGAAGGTGATTGGTATCAGACAGAGTGCCTTCCATGTGTGTTCTTGTTTAACTTCTTGCTCTTATTTTCAGGAAAATGGCACCAGGGTGTGAACTGTGAATCCCGCACCGACCACTGCCACCACCCACTGAACCACGGATTTGACTATTTTTATGGCATGCCTTTCACGCTTGTGGATGACTGTCAGCCAGGCATGCCCCCGGGACTGGACGCCACGACTAGAGCCCGGCTGTGGCATTACACCCAGATGGCGGCACTGGGGGTACTGACTGTTGCTGTTGGTAAGACTTGGAGGTTAATCTCTGTGTCCTGGAAGGTAGTTCTGGGTGCAGCCAGCCTCGTCTTCCTCTTCTTCATCTCCTGGTACGCCAGCTTTGGGTTTGTGCGTCGTTGGAACTGTATCCTGATGAGAAACCATGACGTCACAGAGCAGCCCATGGTTTTGGAAAGAACGACGAGTCTCATGCTACACGAGGCAATTTCCTATATTGAAAGGTAATCCCAATTTTAAAGAGGAGGTGAGTTCTCATAGCACCCGAGTCTCTTTATCATCTTTGGAATTTCTTAAACCAGCCCCGATGGGGAGATGAGTTTCAAGGACTCAAATGGATCAAATACTGTTGAAACAGGATCAAATACAGGTGTCATCGTGTCCGAAGTATGTTTTTCTTCTTTCAGAAATAAGCACAGGCCATTCCTTCTCTTCGTGTCCTTGCTGCATGTACACATTCCCCTGGTAACCACAAAACAGTTTCTTGGGAAAAGCCAGCACGGCTTATATGGCGACAACGTGGAGGAGATGGATTGGCTTGTAGGTAAGTCAAGGCACAGCCGCGCTTCATTCAGTCTTGGCCTCACCACTGAACTTTGGTAACAGATGGGCCACCTCACTATGAACCAACTTGCAATAAAGAATAAGAGAAAAGGCGGGGCACCTGGGTGGCTCAGTTGGTTAAGCGACTGCCTTCGGCCCAGGTCATAATCCTGGAGTCCCGGGATCGAGTCCCGCATCGGGCTCCCTGCTCTGCGGGGAGTCTGCTTCTCCCTCTGGCCCTCCCCCCTCTCGTGCTCTCTCTATCTCATTCTCTCTCTCAAATAAATAAATAAAATCTTTAAAAAAAAAAAAGAATAAGAGAAAAGGCAAAGAATAGGGAGAAAATTTCCCATATCATTCATGTGCTCCTTCAGCACTTCCGATCCCTCAGCCTACTTCTGCACAAAATCATCCTACAAAGTGTATTATTTAAAGCCATCATGAGGGGCACCTGGGTGGCTCAGTCGGTTAAGCATCTGCCTTGGGCTCGGGTCATGATCTCAGGGTCCTGGGATCGAGTCCTGCATCGGGCTCCCTGCTCAGTGGGGAGTCTGCTTTTCCTTCTCCCTCTGCTCCTCCCCCATCTTTGTGCTCTCTCTCTCTCAAATAAATAAATAAAATCTTAAAAAAAATAATAAAGCCATCTTGAGACATTGCAGAAAGTGAAGCAAGAACACTATCGTTCAGGGCAACAGACCAACATCACTGTGGCCTGGAGAAAACCTGGAGAGATCCAGCGAGATTATAGATTGTTTGTTTTCACATTGCAGTATAGTTGATACATAGTGTTACCTTAGTTTCAAGTGTATATAGATTCTTAAAAGAATGTAGACATCTAAATCCTTGCAGGATCCAAGGACTTATCCTGGGAGAAGCATAGTGCTAGAGTAGACCAAGTAAAGAGGCAAACAATCCCAAAATGGGAGGGTAGATTACATCATGCTTTAAAAACATGCATTTCCACTGCTGTACATGCCCGTGTGGTGTAAAATCTTTACTTTCAGTGCTTTAGATGTGCATTTGGTCTCCGTAGATAAAGCGAGTGCTTGGCTTGTAGATGGCTCCACTCTCCTGAGCCTTGGCCCCCATATGCCAACACCCACAGATGGCTCACAGCTCTGGCTTCCTCCTGTCTTGACAGGCTTGTCCCATCAAACCCTTTCTCACCACGTTCCCACCCCCATGCACTCATTATGGACACGCGTATGCATGCCAACAATGCCCATTCAGAACACTCCATTGCTGGCATATTGGCTTTAGGTGTTTATTCTGTTTTCTGTGTTAGTAGCACTAATGATCACTAGTGATACCTTTGTAAACAAGATTCTGAATCCTGTGGTATGAGGAAAATCAGATAGGGGTTCACACTTTGTCATCACATTCATAACGACAGTCTCTTGGTGACTGCAAATTTGGGTTGAATTCGCTGATGCTGTTTCTTTGGCTCTGTCCTGAATTGTTCTATTTCTCTTAAAGGTGAAATCCTTAAAGCCGTTGACGTAAATGGTTTGAAAAACATGACATTCACATATTTTACCTCTGATCACGGAGGACATTTGGAGGCAAGGGACGAACGTGGCCAGCTGGGGGGATGGAATGGAATATTCAGAGGTGAGACCAGTGGATGTTGGGGGTTAAAAGTCAGATATGTGACCCATCAAATGATTCCCAGTGATACAGGCTGGAGAGCAAGCAGAAGGGGAAAAGAGTCTGTGCTTTCAAAGGGGGATTTTCTTGAGCAGCTCCTATACACCAAAATCTATCCAGATGCTAAGAGAGAGAAAAAAAAAGATACCTGCACTTCCCTTAAAGAATTCACATTTTAGTAGAAGAGTGAGATATACAAATAAAATTAAGATAAAATTAAAATAAATGCCATCCTAAATCAAGGGTAGTGCAGTAACTATAACCTTAGTTATATGTGTCCCTGTACTCCACAACATCATGCAAGATTTAGGGCGTGATACCTTTATATTGTCATCTTAAAAGTCTGATACAATTGTTCTGCATGATTCATGGATTCCATATTTATGAATTCATTTACTTGCTAAAATATATCTGTAACCCCAAAAATCAATACTTGCAATGCCTTTGCACTCATTTGAACAGCAGTAAAAATATTGGTCGCCTGACATGCGTGTTCTCAACTAAGGTTGGATGACGTAACCCTGTGCCTACAATTTCATCTCTCAGACTATAAACATGTGTCCTTTTCACGGTCTCTTTAGTGGCCACGTTTTTATAGTTTTGTTTGCTTTTTATTGGTGACTTTGCTACTTCAAATAGCTCCCAACCGTACTTCTGAAGGACTGTTCCCTGTTTCCAAGGGCAAGAAGCTTGCAATGTGCCTTATGGAGAAAATAGGTGTGTTAGATTGGCTTCATCCAGAGGAATTCCATTGCTGTTGGCCATGAGTCCAATGCGAATGAATCACAATATCTACTCAATAAGGAGTCTTTAAACCAAAACACGCAGAAATATACTGATTGGCTGATGAAAATACGGGGACCAGAGTCTCCCTGGAACTGAGCCCTATATTACACCTGAGAGTCGTGGTTCAATATGAGCTAACTGGTGTTTGTGGCGACTTTGTAGAACATCACTCCAGGGAATGAGAGTCAACTGTATATGTTCCTATGACTTGGAAGTGGCTTTTTCCTCCAATCCTCCATATACATCCCCAAGCTGTACAGTAGATTCTCGTCATTCCCGGTGGTATGTTCTACAAACAGCCTACCCCTTGATTTCCAACTGGGACCCAGAACAGAGTACCCACCAAGCCACACCTGACTCCCAACATACAGAAGGGAGACCTAATACACAGGAGTGAGACTGCTGATTTGCAGTAACTTGTTACGCAGCAGTACAAGACAAAGGCAAGCCCGTTATAATTTTTGAGCTGCAACAAAGAAGTATTTATTTAGCAAGATTCTGAACACATCCCTCCCTGTTTACAACTCTCCTTCTGTAACATAGGATTGCTTTGATTTCCATACCCAGAGTTCTTAGGAAGTGGAAGCACGTTGTCTAATGCTCAATACTTATATGCATTTCCCAAAGAGCCAACCTGGGCCCCAACTTACTGCTAAGGGTCCCAGAAATGAAGAAGAACCAGGAAAAGGGGTAAAGGAACAGGTGTATGGTATGGCGAGCAGGTGGGAGAGGAGGAGAAGGGGGTCCAAGATCTAATTCCTAGTCCTTTCAGAAAGAAAAAGGACAGAGGAAGACAGGGACCACCAACCATGCGCAGTATGAAATCCCAGTGCCGGTTATAGCTCTGAAGCCACGCACCGCACACCCCATGTGTCCCATGGTCGCAAAGACCCGCTGAATCTCAAGAGGAGAGCATATGAACTCCACGTGCCCATAGGGATGTGACGAGGTTCTGGAATTATTGCTGCAAATGTTTTTGGGAAATGCAGGCTGCCACCGTGTGTGATTATGTGTGGGGGTGCCCAGGTACATACACACAGACAGACAGGTGCACCCAGGTGTGTGTGGATGGGACCATCTCCTGAAGAATTCTAATGGCATTTACTTACAGGTGGCAAAGGGATGGGGGGCTGGGAAGGCGGCATCCGTGTCCCAGGGATCTTCCGCTGGCCTGGGGTGCTGCCGGCTGGCCAAATGATCCACGAGCCCACCAGCCTGATGGATGTTTTCCCCACCGTGGTCCAGCTGGGGGGCGGCAATGTGCCCCAGGACAGGTACACATGTAATGAGATCTCCGTCCTCCCCAGTTCCTCAGAGCTGTCCTTTTACTATTTTACACGTAGGGGAGAAGCCCTACCACGATGTGAGAACATTCAGAAAGTTCTCACATCCTCAAATGTAGGGGGCAGCCTAAAGCAAAATAATCATACTCAGTTAAACATGATTAAATAAAACATTGGGTCCATCTACTCATTTTGCCATTTTGGTAAGATTTTATAACTCAGCACAACGGGGAGATGAAAGCATTAGAAGTCAATCCACTGAAACACATCTCCCTATGGTTTCCTGAGAGTCACTCTTGCCCGTATGTTGATGACTGACAGCGTGCTTTAAAAATGATTTATCACCTCGATATTAGCACAGGACCAAAGACTCTTGCGAATACAAGATAAAAACAAGGCAGTAAATATTTTGATAATGATTTGGTTTTACTCCATTTAAGGGAACAAATAAATACTCCTGTATAAGAGAGACAGAACCAATAGTTATATGTGCAGGTGTCTGTGTGTTTATAAAATAAGACATATATCTTATGCTCATGCATTTGTGGACAAATTGAAATCCTTATGTCGGGCCAGTGGGCTGCAAACCCAGGCAGAATTTCCCTGTTACAGTCTCAAGGCAGAATTCTACCTTCTCTGGGAAACCTCAGTCTTTGCTCTTGGCTGCCGTCAACTGATTCTGTGAGGCCCACCTTCACTGTGAAGCGCGCTCTGCTTTGCTCAGAGTGCACTGATTGTGGATGTTAACCGTGTCAAAAAAAATGCCTTCACAGCAACACTCAGGGTGGCGTTTCACCAAATCACTGAGCACCATGACCCAGCCAAGTGGACACAGAAAACGGAACCATCATAATTAGGATATAGTTAAAAGTGTTCTACAACTGTAAGGGAAAATACTACATTTGTACATTAAGTTCAGATTGAGGACTTTTTAAAAATATGGTCATGTGGCCATGACTGGCAAGGCTGGGATGGTGTGTATGTCTGTGTGCTCACTGCGTATGGAGTGCTGCATAACAAAATGACCCCACAAGTTAGTGACTTTGTGTTTAGAAACAATGACGTGCATCTTGCTCAACAACTTGCAATCTGGACAGAGTTGGGGAGACAGCTCATCTCTGCTCTTCTTGCCCCATAGCAGGGGCCCTTACAAGCTTGGAGTTTCATTTTCAGGTGCAACGCAGCCTGAGCAGCCTTGGTCTGATTTCTCCTTGTGTCTCTTTACTGAATCAGGGTGATCGATGGCCGTAGCCTGGTGCCCTTGCTTCAAGGGGCTGCTGAGCACTCTGCACATGAGTTCCTGTTTCATTACTGTGGAAAGTATCTGCATGCAGCACGCTGGCATGAGCAGGACAGTGAGTACATGCCTTCTCCTGGTGCGGGGGGTGGGGGTTGCATTAGTCAGGGTTCCCCCTGAGAAACAGAACCAAGAGTGTGTGGGATGGATGGATGGATGGAGGGAGGGAAGGTGGATGGATGGGTAGATGCATGGATAAGTGGATGGACGGATGGATGGATGGATGGATGGATGGACACATGGATGGATGGATGGTTGGATGGAAGGTGGATGGATGTGTAGATCATGGATAAGTGGATGGATGGATGGATGGATGGATGGGTGACACATGGTTGGATGGATGGACATACGATGGATGGTTGGATGGATGGATGGGTGGACAGATGAAAGATCATGGATGGATGGATAGATGAGAGATGATGGATGGAGGATTGATAGGATAGATTAATAGATAATAAAATAGATGACAGAGAGGTAGATAGGTAGATAACAGATGGATGATAGAGAGAGAAAATAAAGACAGATGTAGATGAATTGGGTGGATAGAAACGAGAGATTTTTCAAGAATTGTCTCATGTGGCTGTGGGGACTGGCACGTCTGAAATCTTCAGGGCCCGCCCGCAGTCCTGCAGGAATGGATGCTGACATCTTGAGTCCAAAGGCTAGAAACTCAGGCAGAATTTCTGTGTTGTGCTCTGCAGGCAGAATTCTTTCCTCTTTAGGGGACTTCAGTCTGCTTTCTCTTACATCCTTCAGGTGATTGGGTGGGGCCCACCCACAGTATGGAGGGCGGTCTGCTAATGTAAATGTTCATCTCACTGGGAAAAAAAAAAAAAGCAAACCCACGCCGGGAACATGTAGATTAGTCTTTGACCACGTTTCTGGGTGCCATAGGCTGGCCATAATGATGCATGAAACGCAGCATTACAGAGCAAATCTCTTTCTGAGAAGCTGAGGAGACTCAGTCTCTCATGGGGAATGTGGCTGGTGCCGGGCAAATGTACAGGGGAAGGGAAGCTGCGGGCTGCACCCCATGCCACCCTCTGATTGGCTTTATTATCTGCCATGTATGCAAATGCACCCCCTGAGGACACAGCAAGAACTTTCACAGTGTTGATGTGTCCTATTTGCTTCTGTTAATGAAGCTAGTATGGGGATGTGGAGCAATTAGAAAAGAGAGTGAAGGGTAAGAATGAAGTAAGCACGGCCTGTAGGGGTATCATCCCTGCAGGCAGCCTCACTGAGCACTTTGGGAGGAGTCCCTTTGCCTCTGTGTGCCTGGTCCACACCCTATAGACACACTTTGCAAGAACCACCTGCTTTTCTTCTCTCCTCTCTTTTTACTTGGATGGGATGTTGACGATTTCCCCAGGGCTGGTACTTAGGTCAGGTGTTCACCGCTCTGTTTGTCTTCAGGGGGAAGACTCTGGAAGGTCCACTACATGACACCACAGTTCCACCCCAAGGGGGCGGGGGCCTGCTATGGCCGAGGCCTGTGCCCCTGCTCCGGGGACGGCGTGACCCAACACAGCCCTCCTCTGCTCTTCGACCTCTCCAGGGACCCTTCCGAGGCGGAGCCCCTGTCCCCTGGCTCCGAACCCCGGTACCACTCGGTGGTAGCACTGGTGGGCGAGGCAGTGGATCAGCACAGGAAGACCCTGAGTCCTGTGCCCCCGCAGTTTTCCCTGAGCAACATCATCTGGAAGCCGTGGCTGCAGCCATGCTGCGGAACCTTCCCCTTGTGCGCGTGTGGGCAGGACGAGGTCCCCAGTGAGACATGACCTCACACTTGGCAGGATGCCTGTCATCAGACAGACGGGGCAAAACATGTTGGCGAGGATGCAGAGAAAGGGGAACCGTCTTGCACTGTTGCTGGGAATGCAAACTGGTGCAGCCACTCTGCAAAACGGGATGGAGTTTCCCCCAAAAATTAAAAATAGAGCTATCCTATGACCCACTGATTGCACTCCTGGGTATTTGCCCAAAGGAAATGAAAACAGGATCTCAAAGATACCTGCACCCCCATGTTCATAGCAAAATTCTTCAGAGCAGCCAAGACCTAGAAACAACCCAAGTGCCCGTCGATGTGGTCCATCCACAGAACGCAACACGACTCAGCCACGAGAAGCAAGGAGATCCTGCCCTTTGTGACAAAGTGGATGGAACTCAGGGACATTATGCAAAGTGCAGTAAGCCAGACACAGATCCAAAAATACCACATGATCTCACCAATTCGTGGAGTCTTAACAATAAAAGAGGGAAGGGTGTGTTCTCTCTTGGAGGGATGAAACCCCATGCTACCATCCTCTGCTTCATGGCCTCAGGATGGCTGCAGCAGCTCCAGCCACCACACAGACATTCCAGGCTGCCGGAAAAAGGGCATTCCTCCCAGCTGAGTAAGCCCCTGTGAAGGGGATTCTGCAGAGGTCCTAACCCCGGACTCCTGCTTCCGACCGTAGAAACAACTGGGAATTAAGAAATGCACTTTTTGAAGTGGGCACATACCTGCAGGGGGTAGAATCAGGGTTAGTCTCATCAGCCTAAAGGTGAGACAGCCTTTATAATGACTTGTCCGAGGTCTTTGATACATCATTTCATTGCCAAATTAAATTATTTAGCAAATTTTGAGGTTCCAGCTGGCTTATAAACCTCGAATTTCTGCAAGAAACCTCCTTTTGGACTTTTAAAAAAATTTTTCCCCCCTTTTTTTCATCCTTTATAACTTTGTCTGCTTCTCATGAGTCAGTCTTTTTAAGTGAAACTTTTTTCCGCTCGCAAAACACTGCCAATATCCAACTCTACACACATATATTTTAATGCAAAACTGACTCAGAAAATCAGACGTGCAGCAGGGAGGCGGGTGGGAGGGACGTGGGGAAAGATGCTGGGGGCTGCCTGCAGATCCACAGGGGAAGGAGGCAGCGCAGGGCCCCAGGGCGGTGATAAGCAGGACGCACTCCCGGGTCAGGGCAGAGCAGAGCTGATTTACAACCAGATGGAACAAGCCTTATCTTAATCTCCAGGGCCCCTTGTCTTTACTTGCAGCGAAACATTGGCAACTGGCCTAACCGGTTAGACCGGCTGTGGCTTAACTAAGTGTCCCCCGGAGGCAAGACAGACTTCTCCCCTCCACTGTCTGCTCTGTTGAAACCGAATTTCCTCCCACAGACCTTGGTGCTCAGTCTGCAGGCAGAGCAAACGGGGAGCTTTGCACGGACTGCTGCTGAACCCCCAGGGCTGCCTGCCAGGTTCCGTCTCTGGCTGCCCTCCTGTCCCACGCCTTTATTGCAAGCTCCGCCTGAGTGTGAGCAGACTCTGAGGGGCCTGGGGGTGCACTCGAATATCCAAACTAGGGAAATTTTGCAGAATATGGTCAGCGTTGGCTAGCCCCATAGATGAGCTTGTTACACATCCAATGGGGCGTTCCCTGTCGCAGTTGGCTGTTCACAAGCAAAAACACACATTTAGACCTTTAACCTCTCACACATCCCGAAGGATGAACGCCAAATCCACTAGAGACCCAAACGAAAAAGAGGAACTGCAAAACATCCAGAAAGAAATTCAGGGCAAAATCTTTGTCCTCTTAGGTTAGGAAGAGATTTTTTAAGGTAAGACAACCAAAGCTTGATCTGCTTTTCAAAAGTCGATAAATGAGAGTTTATCAAAATTCAAAGCTTGTGTGAAAAAAGGGAAAAGATAAGCCGCAGACCGGGAGAAAAATATTTCCAAATGAATACAACTCCACAATAAGGAGACAAACCACCTAAGAAGTGGGCAAAAGATGTGCAGTCATTTTACTAAAGAAGAAATGAATGACTAATAAGCACATACAAGGATAACTGGTCTGCATTTCCTTATTCAGGAGTGGTTGCCCGAAAGAAACGCCATTCTGCTTCAACTTGTTTGCAATCCCACACCAAAACCCATCAGCGTGGGAGCTGCTCAGGTGCATTCGGGTACCACACAATGGTTTCAGCAAGATACGACCAAGTGATAATACTACTACATCTACACACTTTCACCCACCCTGCAAAGTCACCATATCTATAGGAGCTTCTCCCTACATGGCATTTCCTCCTGCTCCCAAATAATAATTGGAAAATATTTCTAGAACAAGAAAATGTAAACACACACACACACTACCTTTTATGTACCCAAATATTAATGATAGTACAGGTCAAATCACATCTCTTGGGGACTCAAACAGTTGTGTAGTCCTGACCTGACATAGCACAGATTCTGCACTGGCCTTATTCATGTAACAACATCGTATTATACCTCTTACACAGACGATATTTAGAAACCCTCAGAATGTTTTGGACTACTCATTTATGAATAAGTACATGTCACAGTGCCTGCCCTACAGAGAACTCAATAACCATGGGATGGATAGATGGACGGATGGATGGATGACGACATAAGTGGATGATTGAGAGATGGATGAATGGATGGATGGATGAGTGGTTGGGTGGAAGGATGGATGAATTGCTGGATGGGTGGATGGATGGATGGGTGGGTGAGTGATTGGAAGATGGATGGATGGATGGATGGATGGATGGATGGATGGACTGAATGAATGAATGTGACATTGAAAAACAATACTAGGAAATGGGTAGCTTCCCTAGAGAGACCTTAGGGAATTTCACACAGTGAGAAGTAAACAGTTCTACACATTTTATTGCTACTAGCAATTCTGAAAAAAATGTTGGTGATTTAAATTTACAGACACCCACGTCCCTTCCCTCTGTGACATATAAAATATTATTCTGATGGCTCAGAACACACACAAACACACACCAGAAGGGACACCATGTTGCTGTTTTAAATTTTTAATTGAAGTGCATTAGCATCCATTCAAATCAGAAGATATAGACCAGAATGCATAACAGAAGTCTGTGTTGAACAGACACCTTAAGCCATTGAACCACTGTCTAGAAACAGGAGTTCTCTTCCCCACAGAAGCTGAACCAGACTCAGTATTCATCACTGGACTCCTCCTTCTCAAGTATGTCAGACTCAGGCTCCTGTTTTTCATAACCCAACACCAGGGCACCCAGCACCCACGGTCTTTCCCCAGAACAAGTTTATAGTGTTGCTCTAATGGTTGATTACCATCCCAGCTCAACCCCTGTAAGGCTATATCCATATGGCTATCTTCACTTAGCTCTGGAAGCTTCATATGTGTGATGCCCAACCAAGACTGCAGACCATTAGCCACCCAGACATAAAGGAAACAACCCCTCTGTAACTCAAGTCTTGCAAAAAGCTCACACCACAACTAACATCATGCACTTCCCCACATTCCTCTACCCAAGGGCTCACCTGCTTGACATGATGTAAAACATGGCCAAACACACCCACCAAGTTATAGCACAACCACCACCACGTGGTCCAAACCTGTCTGTAGGAAACCCTCTGATGTTCCACAGTACGTGCATGATAAACAAACCATCCTAACTTTTTAACATTTCCCTCTCTTTAGCACGGTGATGCCCATTTTTAGGTGGTGGCCACAAGCAGTGACCCTGTCGGAGCTGCTCCAACAACTGCATGAATTCACAAAACCAGGATACTTCTGAAGATGATTTCTCATAGAATAAAGCATCCAGTCTCATAAAACGGAGATTTCTCCCCAAAACAGCTGCGTTGAAATGGTCTGGAGAACACAGTGACTCGAGTCGTTATTTAGGACTGAGGTAGTGATATCCAGCAGAGCACAGTCAATTGTGATGGACTGCAAACAGATCTGCCTCTACACAAAGAGCCTCTCCAGATCCTGTTAGTGTGAGTGAGGTGTCATCAGAACCACCTGGAGTAAACCCTCGGTGCTCCCCAACCAAGAAGACACTCCATCTCCCAAGCCAGCTAGAATCTCCCTTCCACATTACCTCCAGCATTTCCCAAGTGGGGCATCCGCCAACAGCACTTGGCGGTCCCACCAGGATTTGCAGAAGAGAAACAACACCTATAGTGTTGCTCAGACATGCTCCGCGAAGTCTACGTGAGAGTCTTCCTCAAGACGTCTGAACGTCTACCTAGTCCTTAAGGAAAGGACTTTCCATCATCGAGGCTTCCTGAGGTCCTGAATACATATATCGGTGTCGTTATCTTAGGGGCAGAAGAGAATCTGCAGTGATATCTAACCCTATGTGGGAGAGCAATGGTAGCACCTGCCCAAGGCAGCATCCCAGAGCTCCGTGGAGCAAGACCAGAGAGCATGATCAAGGGTCTACCAGAAGTTTATCCCTGCTCCCACTTGCTGAGAAGAACTGACGTCTCAGGGGAGCCAGGAAGGCATGGGTAGCTTGGATAAGCAGGGCAGGGTGGTAGAGGGCTTTAAGCTGGGTTTTTTATGGTCTACATTATTTTTGTGAGGCACTCAAGTTGGTCAGCCATAAATAGAGGCACATAGCTGAACACCTGTTCCCTTCGAAGGGCCTGGAGATGTCCGCATTCACGGGACCATGCAGCAGAATATTGCCTGACCACACGCAGCACAATGCGAACCCTGGGGTTACTGCAGAAACCGGTCCAACTTCTCCTGGATGCGGGCGAACGCATCCTTCCCCATGTAATCGATGCGTCCCTCCTCCCATTTCCTCCTTTCTTCCTCAGGACTCGACTCCTTGACCTTCTCTTCGATGGAAATCTCGAAAACAGACATGGCCAGGTCAACCTAGGGAGGACAAGCAGACAGAAGATGGATTTTGGAGTCATCCCTGGCGTAACTGAGTATCGGTTTAGTGACTGGGTCTACAAATGAATCTCAGTTCTCTTGAACGAAATATGTGCTGAGTGTAATATGATACTCTTAGAAGAAGATGCTTTTCCTGGCCACGTTTTGTGAAATCTTATAAAATACCATTGTACATGTGTTCACTTTTTCATAAGAAGTGTTTTAATTTTTTTTTTTTTAAAGATTTTATTTATTTATTTGAGAGAAAGAATGAGAGAGAGAGCATGAGAGGGGAGGAGGGTCAGAGGGAGAAGCAGACTCCCCGCCGAGCAGGGACTCGATCCAGGGACTCCAGGATCATGACCTGAGCCGAACGCAGTCGCTTAACCAACTGAGCCACCCAGGCGCCCCAGAAGTGTTTTAATTTTTACCACTAAACCATTTTACACACACACCTGTACCGATTTAATGCTCCCACCCACCGGAAACCTCAATGTTTGGTATCACCAGATATAATCAAACAATGTGAAATCAAGAAAATATTCGCCTTGTATGAATAAAGCCTACAGTAGTTTGGACAGCCTGCGAAAGCCATTTAAATAATAACCGCAGTGGTTTTCTGCTTGCAAATGGCAGGGTTTTTATCTTCTTAAAGCCAAAATACGAGACAATATATAAATACACACATGTGCAAACACACACACGCACCTTTTGTTTGGTCAAATGGGTTTAAAAATTTCTTACCAAGGATTAGAAGATGTCTAAAAATACGCATGTGCTGATAACACGCACACACACGCTATGGGTGACACTCAGGTGTTCCCCAGACGTTGTGTGTGTTGGTGGGATGATACTGGATGCCAGAAAGTTAAATTAGAATTTCGATGCTACTGGGCATATGGGACTTTCTACTCTGATTATTTACAGTAGTGTTTTTAAAGACTTTGTACGGATAACATTCTGTTTTCTACCCTTGTCCCCCTACATCATGTTCAAACATTGCCATCCTGTTGGCCAAGGAAATAGCAACAGTTAAAAAAGAATTATTTTCCATTAGATCTTAGCCATTCTTTCCTCTAAGAGCCCTTGGATTCAGGCTCAGTGCATGTCTGGGAACTAAAACTTCCTGGAATTAACAGGACCCGTAGAACATATGG